ATGTCCGGAGGCTCGTTCATAAAATAAAACGTAAAAACTTACCAATAAACTGCTATAATACACTACAAACTAATACTAAATAAATTTAAAAGTAACTAAGATGAAAATATACAAATCTGATCACCAATACTTAATAAAATTAAATTAAATTCTTTTCAAACTCGAAAAACGCGCCCACCAAGTTCGACGTTTCCCGCCTTTTTTTCAATCAAATAGTTATAGAAGTTTCTTTTTCAAAAAATTTGAAGCGTAATTGTTTCGGAGATCAGGGGCAAAGGGGAGTGGTTAGGCAATGAATCATGTTTGTTGTTTTCTATGGAATTCGAAATGAATGAATAAAACATTTTTCAAAATATAGAACAGAGTTTTAATTTAAAAAAGTTGCTTGACTATACTGACTTTACTGACTATAAAACTTCAAAACCATAGATTTTTTATCTGAGTTCAAAACCTAATACAAAATCTACTTAAAGATATAATAAAGTTTAATCTAAGTACAAAAAGAATAATATTCTTAATACTCGTTTTGAACATAAAAATCTTTTGTTTTTTTCGCTGATATAAACAGGACATTAACATATTTAGCTTTACATTTTAGGCAAAGGCATATTTTGTTTGTTCATACTCGTATTGGGAGTATGCGCTGACAAATCATCTTTTATAAAATGATGAATATCTAGGGTTAACGGGGTCTTACTCTATGAGGATTATTTCCATTCAGGGACCATTTACACGATGCCAGTGGTCGAGCCAATCCATTTAGCTGGTCCAGTAAAATTAGAAACCGTTCTATTGCATTGGAATGCCAGAATCGATTATCTACGTTTACACGAGGCGAATATGGGACTGGCTTACTGCATTGTCTCGGCTATCGGCTTCGTGAAAATGGTATGGACCAATGGTATAGATCATGGGATCTATTAAAAAAATGCGGTAATGTGCATAATTCAACCACTTAGGTACGTACACGCTAAAATTGTCGTCGTGTAGGTCAAACTTACATTAATTTACTTAAAATAAACAAAATATTGTTTAATATTATATTGTATTCATAATAGCAAAAAACCTTAAGAAAATCTTAACCTGATAATTACTTAATTGGAACAAAATTTAACCCATCGTGTGAGATGCGACTTAAAAAAAACATTTTTAATTTTCATAAATATTATAGACAGCCATTTTATTTAGTGGATCTAAGGTGTCGATATTAGACGTTTCATGGAAAATCATTTACTACCGATGAACGAATAGTGAACGTGGAATTTAAAAGTGAAAGAAAACGAGTATTTCATATTATCATAATGTCGCGGCAGCAAGTCGTGCGTTTGAGTTTCTTAAAATTAGATAGGTTGGTCGAAAAATTAAAATTGCACAATTTTGCCGTGTCATATCACTTCGACAACACGGAGGTGCTAGTTTCGCTTTGTTTAGATATCTCTCTTACTTTTGATCATTTTAAATTAGTTTTTGTTAAAGAAGAAAAAGTACCTTGTTAGATTGATTCAAGGGAATCAAAATTTCAACAAAACTTCAAAGTATAGTATGTAAACGGACATCAACAATATATTCGATATTGTCTCGTGTTCGACGAGAACGTTCGACTACTCAGCTGAACGACAGACGTTTGGCCGTGCAATTTAATTAATTAAAGGCGAACAGTCGAATGGGACGGCAGTTTTATCCAGTTACAAAAAACTACGACAATACATGTATAAATTAAAAATATATTTATGTTGAGAACATATTTTAACTAAACGTTAACTTTACTAAATGTTTATCATTTAGTAGGCTTAATCTGTTAAAGTTGAGATATTGCCGTTATTATCGGATGGCTTGGTATCTTCACTGCCTCCGGTACTCCCAGCTTTTTCTGCAGCACCACCAGTGCCCAAGTTCAAATCGCGAACAGTTTGTGAGCCTAATATTAGCTTTTGTAAGTCTTTACAAGTTGGATTACTGCCATTACTGTCAGATGGTTTGTCTTCGGTACATTCCGATCCTTCAAATTTACCATCACTGCCCAATTTTAAATCGAGAACAGTTTGTGAACCTAATTTCAGCGTTAGTATATTTGAGCCATTTAGTAAATTTAAGTCTATCAAATTTGAGTTACTGGTGGTATTTTCGGATGGATTGCTGCTATTACTGCTTCCGGTACCCCCCTTTTCTCCTTCTGCACCACCACCGCCCAATTTTAAATCAAGAATAGTTTGTGAACCTACTTTTAGCTTAAGTATATCTGTACCATTTAGTAGTATTAAGTCTATCAAAGCTGAGTTATCTCCATTATCGTTTGATGGTTCGGTGCTATTACTGCCTTCGGTACCCCCCGTTCCACCTGCTACTCCACCACCGCCCAATTTCAAATCGAGAATAGTTTGTGACCCTAATTTCAGCTTAAGTAAATCTGTACCATTAAGTAAAATAACCTCTATTAAATCTGAGTTAATGTCATTATTGTCAGATGGCTTGGTACTATTACTGCTTCCTTCACCCCCTGTTTCTCCTTTTGTACTACCACCGCCCAATTTTATATTAAGAATAGTTTGCAAACCTAACACCAACTTAAGTAAGTCTGTGCCATTTATTACTATCAAATCGGTGTTACTGCCACCATTAGTACCACCACTACCTCCAGCACCATTCGCTCCTCCTGCACCACCGTTACCACCACTACCGCAAGTACTACAACACCCTCTTGTAGAGGTATATACTAATGCGTTAATAAGTTGGTTAATAATTTTCCCCAAGTTAATGTTATTGTTGCTTTTATCGTTTGCTTTAGTCATACACAATAAAGTGTCAGTATCGTCAAAATAGAAAGGCGGTGGCAAAGGGTAATACCGTCCATAGCTTTGAGCCTCACAAATCTGGAAAATTATAAAAGTTATTATTTTTGTTAAAATTTGCAATTTTATAGGTATTGATTTTTAACTAATAGATAAATTCGATTGGTGCAACCGTCTAACTCTCTAGCCATAGTATACGACATTATGTCGCATAGACTAACAAAACAAATGTCAAAGTAGTAATATGAAACGAAATATAGTCATAATATAAATAAAACTGAAAAGTCATTATATTAGATTTCTCTATCTGCTTTTGTCATCTCTTCTCCTTATTACAATATAATAAAACCTATGTTCTTGACTTGCTTGTTGTAATAAATTATTGATAGTAAATTCAATGGAGAGGGGGCAACTTAATATCTTGGCGACGCCCTTGAATGAATTAAGTATAAAGTTATGAGCGTTTTTTTCTTTATTTTTGTAATAAAATTAAGAGTTTTATTTTGTTCGATAACTTTGGTTAATTTTGATAAGGCAATTTCGTAATAGGGAATATGTGTCTGACACTTTGAAAAGACATTTATAATAGGAATTTATAACCATTTTAGGTAAACTTTAAGGAGTTTTTCAAAATACTCAATAAATTTGATGTATGCATGCACCAAGTACACAGTGCAACATCGGGTTAGTTTCAACAAAATACTATTATTCCTCAATCGACTATAAACTCTACTAGGAGCTCGATCAATATGTATAAAAAGATTAACTCACACTAATAGAACTTGCCACAAAAGCCAAACAAATGAGTCGAAGAGGCGACATAATTTCATATGTCTTATTTGTTACCAGCGCTTTATATATTGGATTTGTTTTATAAAATGCCTATTGCATCATTACAGATATACTGTTAGCTACTTTATTTCGACATTACTAGACGAACTGTGGAAGATATTTTTTGTTTGAAATTTTACTGTATCTATATGTACACGTCTTGTGTGTGTGCTTGCTTAGAAAACCCAAGCTGGTACGATAACACGGTAGGGTCCGGTTGCATAAATCTTAATAAACAACTCATATTCTATTGGTAGTTTATCGTATTTGCATTGATATTTAAGTGATGGAAACTTAAGGAAACTGCGAGATAGTGACAACTGGGATTTATTTCCGAGAAAACAATTTACTAGGAGTATGTACTGGGGTGAATCTGAAAGAAAACTGGAAGGGTTGTCATGGAGAAATCAAGAAAGTACCACAACGATATGTAGTTTGAGTTCGGAAACTAATGTTTTTTTTTGACGTGGATACGTCTATGTTTTCGTTCTACAGGGGGGTCATTCTGTGAGCAGGAGTATATGCACTAACGCCATCTATTGGCGTATAAGTGAACTATGCTTGCTCTGCAGAGGGAGGGGCATTCTGTCAGCAGGCGTATATGCACTAACGCCATCTGTTGGCGCTAGTGAATACTTTTTTCATTCAACAAATGAACGCAACGAATGTTTATTTATTTAGTGTTTAGTGTCTTCAATTTGTTTATTTTTTTGACGTGGATACGTCTATGTTTTCGTTCTACAGGGGGGTCATTCTGTGAGCAGGAGTATATGCACTAACGCCATCTATTGGCGTATAAGTAAACTATGCTTGCTCTGCAGGGGGAGGGCCATTTTGTCAGCAGGAGTATATGCACTAACGCCATCTGTTGGCGCTAGTGAATACTTTTTCATTCAACAAATGAACGCAACGAATATTTATTTATTTAGTGTTGAAATAAACAAATTGAAGACACTACTTCAATTTGTTTATTTATTTTTATTTACTTAATTCTTAATATAAGTTTATTTTTACAAAGAAACAAATATGGGTAGAATAAATAAATGTAGGGTGCTTTGTTAAAAGTAAAAACGCACTGCAAAAGTAAATGGTATCGAAAATCATAAAAATCTTTTTCAACCGAATTTTATCGAATCCCATCTTAGTGTATCTGGAACTGGTGAATTTTTTAAATATCAACAATAATGTTGATTTTTTTTTTATCAATTACTCAAATATCCATTCATACATAGACGTATCCACGCATAAAACATGGCTGTATCAATGATACAGCCAAACAGGGTTTTTTTTGAAATACTTCCTCATTTCTAGACGAAGGAAGTGAATTGCCATAACAAAATTTAAAAAGTAAATGTCAGATTCAATTTAAATGTTGGTTTCGTCAGTTTTATACGTTGGAGTCCTGTAGTTGTCAATTATTTATAATTTATATACTTATTTTAGTGAATATTACCTTCTAATTCGATTATAATTTTAGGGAAGATATAGTTATTAAAGATAAAAACTCTTTTGAGTTATCTTACTCTACGTTATTGTCAGGATGACTTCTGAAAGTGATGCTATAAAAACAAATGAATTTCTACGACGACGTAAACTACGATTATTACAGGTTGATCTATTACTTCTTACGCAAATCTGTACTCTTATATATTATTGATATAACAAGGAAATATTTATTATTTTGCTTGGGGCCGAAATTTCTCGACAGACTTAAAAAAAAATTATTAATTGAACTCTACATTATTATTGATTTATATATGCCATAGATTATTTTGGATAACTTTTGAAATTAATATCAAAATACTCGTAGGTCAGAGAACAATCGAAAGACATTGCAAAAAAAGTAAGACAGCGTGCAAAAGCTGAAAAGTTGCAACATATAGAAGAGTTAAAGAGCAATAAAGAGAGGGAATACTTGAAGCATCAAGAAAAACTAGTTAAATGTCTTGAACAACTGTATGCACAAGGAGTGAAAAATATTGGGTCTAGCCACCACCAAGCTTCTGCAAATAAAGAGAATGGTTAGCTTTATTTTAAATGAAAGTAATTTAAAAAGAAATTTAAATAACACTTTTACTTTATGGTAACTTTACAGTTAAAAAATCAAGTGACAAAGAAGATTTATCAAAAGTTCGAGGCAAGGAGGCTGCAGCTGCATTGAGGAAAAGGAAACAAGAAAAATTAAATCAGCAAAAAAAGTTACTGGATCGAAAACTCTTAGCAAGGTAACAATATGAATATTACTAAAATATGTAAATTTGACATTATGAATAATATATAAAAATATTATTAATTAGTTTTTTTCTAAATTTGTATTAGCCCAGGTATAATAAAGTTATTTGTAAGTTACATTTCTTGCCATGAAGTTTAACTAGTTTTTTTTATTCTTTAGGGAAGCTGCTAATGAGATTAGTAGAGAGAAATCCTTAAGTGTGGCAAATAAACTAATTTCAAAATCTGAGACTAATATTCCTCAAGATATTCCTATTCCTAAACCAGCAGTAGGAGTAGGTGATTCTAAAGGGAGTGATGAGAATGAGACTTGCCAAAAATTGAATAAAAATGACATGGGGACCCAATGGGATAGTGAAGAAGTGCCCAATGAATGGGAGCCCAATATACCTCTGCTTTCACTACCAAAAGATGATAGAGAGAGTCTAAAGGAGTCTAATAATATTCCTGAAAGTAAATCAGAGAGAAGCAAAAGAATAGATCTCTTTGCTCTTAGTTCTGAAATGCCATCTAGTTTACGTGGAGGACTTATTAATGTTTCAGAAGAAAGAACTAATGTAAGACCATCATTAACTATGGTCACAGAGTATTTGCAAAATAGGGCACTCAGACTCAGAGAAACTTGTCCTAAGAAAATGCCAGTTGTAGGAGATGATCTTGAGAGTTTAAAACAAACAATACTACGCACAAGGTCTTCAAAACTAGAAGGTAGTACAACTAAAAATGTTTGTCATGTTCTCAATGAGCAAGTTATCCCTGTGCCGTCATGGCATGCTGAAAGTATTTGTGAATTATGTTCCCACCATATCTCGCACCATAATAATTACAATAGATGTAAACAATTTACAGTTAGTAACTCTGAAATTAATGAGATTTTTAGTTCTATACAACCAAAGAATATGGATGTTCAACCTAACCCCATTTTAAGAGGTAGCAGTCCATTTAGAAGAAATAAAGATTATCAAAGAATATATAAAAAGCCAGGTGATTTAACCAATCTTATAGGCCAACAAGTAGTTTGTCATGAATTTGTAGGTTTTAGTTACCATTTCATCATACTTAATTCAAGTCATATTAAAGGTAGCTTGTATAGTGCTCTTTTATTATATCCAATTCTTGGTTGTTAACTTGGTCTCTTGGTTTTATTTTATCTTTATGCTTTACAGAAGGATCAATGTCGGTAAGTGAGGTTGTTTTTATTTATATTGCAGCAAAAAGGGATATTGACAAATCAGTGATTAGTGATGCTGATTCAGTACTGAATAAGAAAAGTTCTGTAACAATCTACAATCATTCAACTAGAAATTCTAGAGACATTCCACTAGGTGACTCAGATTTGGTAGTCAGAGACCATCTAATAGAAGATAATGCATATGAGAAAGCATTAAAGGAGAGTTCAAATGACAATGCTAAAGAAAAGGAACACATGAAGAGATTGCAAGAAATGAGGAGTAAGGTTGCAATGACGAAACAAACTGTTGAAAGGGAATACAATGACACAATGTCATTTTTGAAATCACTACCTAAAGAAAAAAGCACCAAGAATTCCGTGTGTAAATTATAATCATCTTGCTTACAAGTAATGAATGCATTAAAATCAGTTTCTTAAATTTGCCTTATGACTTTTTTAGAGAACTTCGCACATGGATGAAAGGAGGCAGCAGATGCAGAAAGATAAACATCAATTAAAACTGCAATGTGAATATAATAAAATTGAAAGACAATCTAGAAAAAATTGTGAAATGGTATGTAGTAAAATTATTATTTTTAATTTTCTATAAAAAATTTGTCCAATAAAAACTAAATCATTTTGTATGAATTTTTAATGATTACTTTCTTATTAATTGTGAATATATATTCCTATATCTTTTAGGTTTGAAATCCGTTGGCCATTGTGATCTTTACAAGGTGATTTTTATTGTAATTGGTAATAGAGTAGTAACAGTGGCAGTGTGGGGCTAAATTTATTAATGGAGGGGTGGGGCATCTAATGCCTTATCCCAATCAAATAATAGTAGTATCATTATTCACCACAATAAATTAAGACAAAATTATACAAAATGTGAAGTGCAGTCTGTATAAATCCCTTTTGCTTCCAGATATTTTGTGCCTGAGTGTGAATTTCTTTTTTTTTCAACACGCCTGTGTGTGAAATTCGCCTCAATGTTCAAATCAGGGTTTTTTTAGAGTTTTTTAAAGCAGCAGGGAATTCTCCCTTATTGGTTATTTTTTTAAGACAATTCGTTATACTATATTTTGTATCTGTATGTTTTCAGAGTCCAAAATCTAAAGTTACATCAATAAATAGTAGGAAATCTAAATCTCCAATTGAAAGAAATCTAAGTGATGACTTTGAGGCCAGAGATTTGCAATATTCTTGGATGCCAGTACCAGAAAGTGATGGCAACTTAGCAATTCATACAATACCTACTAGTTTAAAAGAAGGAAAGTCTGGGAACACAGTGAAATTTAGTAAAGTTGACAGCTACCATGAATATAGGTCAAGACACAAGCATACACCTCCAACAAAGGATACAAATGATAAACAACCAAAAAAGAAAAGTGTAGAAACTATTGTTATCCAAAATGATGATACTGACAGTATGAATTACTCCACAAGTTCTTCAGATACTAGTTCAGTTGAAAATTTGAATCTCCAAAGGAATAAAGACACTAAAAGCAATGGAGCTATTTCAGAAGATGAAAATATAGTTGTTTACAAAATCTTACATTCTAAAGTTGGGAAAAAAGCAAAAGAAAGGAGGCGACATAAATTAATTGATGAAGTTGCAAAAGTGCTTACTGCAATGGACAAAGACAAATCTACTAAAATAAACAAAGATGACAATAACAACCGTAACAAAACTGGTACTGGAACGTTGGATTCAAAAACTAATGTTCCTTTAGAACAAATCAACGAAGGTATGTAGTTATAATTTTAAAAAAAGTATGTATACTGACAAAATAGAACAATATACTAGATGTGTCAAAAAAAATTAAATGGGTATTTTTATTATTGGGTAAATTTTGTATCCACTTAATTAAAAATATTTCATATGGCTGTTAAGATAGATGACTTGCAGGGCAATTCTACTAATTTTAGCATAGTTATGGAAAGTCAATAGTGCTTGTACACAAACTTTATGGCACAATTCTTCTTACTAGATCACCAAATAACAAATATATTGATTTTGTGAAGAAGACATTGCACTCATGATTTTGGACTTCGGGTCGATAGTACAATGCCAAAATGCAATAAAGTTAAGATTCTATTGAGATATTTGCGTAAACATAGCAGAATTGGTCTGTTGAATCAATCTTCAGTGATTTCAAAAAAATCCCTTCCGCGCGGCATATCGTAAAGGACTTTTTTTTTATAATTGCTATTTCAAAACAAGTACTCTAAAACGATAGCTAATACACCTAACAAATTTTTATGACCACTGGTTTGAATATGTTTTTTTTTTGTTTCAGGTGTATACAAAATAGTAAATGAAAAGGGGTAAGTTTGAATTTATTATTTGTAAATTTGTAACAGAAAGAAGATTGAAGTCAGACGAGAACAGTAAAATTGATTAGGCAACGTTACGGTACGAAAGATGTATTTCGATATTTTTAGATTGGAATAATGGATGAAATATTGTTGTAAGAAATTATAAATTCTTTTTCTAATTGAAAGTTTTGCTAATGTAAAGTAATTTTGGCGTTGCACAAACAGCTTTTTTGACATAAGTCTTGATACTAAAAGCTGTATCTCAAAATAACAAGAATGCATGATCATTAATTACGGTTATTGACTTCTTGGCTTGACTTTCCAATGATCTGTGATGCATTCATAACGTCAATGGCAACATCCACATTAAGGCTTCAGGTCCTATCAGGAAAATACTCTTTTTAAGGCCTGGTCTACATCAATCGTTCTTGTGGATTGCACACCTGTAGAGCATAGTGGATATATTCATTGAAGTGCCATAAATATGTTAACATTAGTAGAATCGAAACTCTGGTGTGCGAGAACTATAGCGAATTCTATTAAATATTTCTGCTCACCCCCGTGGGAAACCTGCCCTACCAGCTCGTCATTTTTTTATCAGAACGTGAAATCGACTCGCTTTGTCTATTCCGTCTATAGCAAAATAAATTGCATCTCTCTCACAATTTATGTTGCTGTTACACCTATGTTGATGTTATTGTTTGTCTTTATTAAATGGATATCTACAGAGACATGATTGATATATATTTTTTTAAGATTCACTATGTTGATGTGTTATTATGACGTAACGTTAAAAATTTCATGGCTTCGGGTTGTTATTGTTCACGTAATTCGAATTTAAAGGAATTTTAACAAACTGTTACTTTGAAGAAGAAAAAAAAATGGCGAGTGGGTAAGCCAGCTAGTCTGCCCAATTAAATATCCTGATTCCTTAATGAAATCCCATTCCTATACCGTCCTTCAGATTGAACTACAATATAACTAGCTGCTTTACTGCTAATTTAGAGATGTGGCAAACTAAAGCTGAACGCAAACCTTGGTGGTGAATATTTTTTATTCTTTTAAGAAAACATATAAATATTACTAAAATGTAGCTCACATATAACAATGACATTTATTTAAATTCGCATAAAATTACAATAATATACCATTAATGTGGCATATCGATGTATCTGCGCAAAAGTTTAAAATAAATTTCAAAGCGCGGCATTTCCTAACCATAGTACAAGTATAGTACACATATTGTATTGTACAAGAATAGTACAAGTATAATATAATTGCGTGGTACGTAAATTGAGCTAAAATGGCGATTTTACGCGCAGGTGTAGTCATGATCTATTCTGCGTTGCCATGGTTACGCACTGCGTCTCTCCCCCGCACCTCGATTAAGACCCGAAAATGTACTACTGTGCCATCGCCGTGTTGATTCAATTTAGGTGCCGAGCAATTTGGCAATCCGGGCGCCTGACCTCACCAATGTGAATGAGACGGACACCTAATGTATTTTTAAACCTTATGCTGGACGACGCATGATTGAAATTCGCTTTAGACTAAATTTTAATAATTGTTATGTGAATTAATAGTTCTGCTTTGAGCAAATGAAGAAATAAAACTATGTGTATTAACTGAACATTATGAAAATTCGTCATTCCTGTTGGGTCCTGGGCAGCTCAGTGGTTAGAGCAGTCGCCCGGATTGCGAAAGGTCATGGGTTCGAGTCCCATCTCAGATTGCCAGGGAAAAAGATTTTTTAAGCATTTTTCAGTATGGCATTATGAATGTGAAATTGATAAAATATAATAAGAAATAAGACTATGTTTATCCTTTATGTTATTTGAGTTATGATTTTGTTTCAGGATTTATTCAAATTTCAATTTTCCACATGTTATTAATAAGCAAAAATGTACCATTTTTCAGGGACAATATAAGCTCCTTATATTTTTCCGATAAACCATATAATGCTACTGAAGATGATCAAAATCAAACCAGACCTCACATATGTAAGAAACGGATACATAAGAAACAAAAGTTTGTTGAAGGTACAACAAATAATCCAATTTATCTGGATTAAACAATTTCAAATTATTCTAAGTAAAAATACCTTTTAATGTGTTACAGATACTGAAACTAAAGCTGAAAGTGGGGATGAATCTGTATTAAGGTGAGCAATGTAATGTTTTTACATACAGCATCACAAGCATTTAGTTAGTACGAAAAGCCAAATTTCTGCAATAAATTTTGAACTTAACCATCGGCAAATTAAAGCTTAAAATCGATGGGATAATTTTACCTTTTGTTGTCGACGGTATTAACATTATAAGGGATAGCATAAATTATATGACATTGTTTAAATACATTTGCATAAATGCGGAGTGTGATACTGGTAACGATAGCTCTTAGTTCAATATTTTTATATCTGTTTACAGATATATATTATGTATCCACAATGGTTGTTTCTTATCAGTTATAAAATTTTGCAATGTTGTGTACATATATATTTTTTTTATTACAGAAACGCTAATTGTGTTATTTGTGAAGATGGTTCAAGCAGGAATAACAAGTCTAGAACTGTTCCGAGCGGACAGCATCCCTCAGCCGCTACTTCCACGTCTTCATTTAAAACAGCGTCTATAAATGAAAGAAATACAATGCTTGATGGTGATTTTGTCAAACTATTGGATGACAACGGCCAAGAGGCTGGCAAGTTTTACATTGGCGCCAGTGGGTACCTCAAAGACAATGCTTACGAAATTACAATACAGTTGAAAAAGAAAGATTCATTCAGAAAAGACGAAAGATCAGAAGTTGCTAGAAATAATGAAAATTTAATAGCTAAGGAAAAAGAGGCGACTCTCCAGGAATTAAAGAATCCTGACAATTTTATGCCACCACATTCTGAACTTTTGTGTGTTAATGATGGATTAAACAACGCCGATGGTAGCAAAGCTGTTTATACACATCCAGGTACTGAATGTATGGATTCTGGGGTACAAGAGGCATCTCAGCACTCTCCTGCCTTAGATGGAATAAATGAAAAGGATAATGAAGTACCAGTATTAGATGCATGTGTAGATAAACCAGTATTTACCGATTCCAGTAAAGAAAACATAGATAAAACAGCTAAATGTTTCATTGACAAAGGTACTTACACAACATCTCAGCTTTCGTTTGCAATACCGAGTGATTTTCCTAAAACAGATGGTCCACCTAGACCAGCAACATCCACTTACACACAGACTACAATGAATTCTCCAAACACAAGACCGGTTTATATTCATATGAGTTCTTCTACGTCGACCGCATACATGAGTCCACCCGAAATTATATTACCCAAGTTTCTGAAACATAAATACGACGGTTATAGTCATCGAGAGGCAGTTACATCGCAAGATGAAAGATGTATAACGAAGAAGCATCGCGAATGTGATAAAGATTTTATGTGTTCATGTAAACGTTGTGTATTACGTGAAAAAGGAAACAAATTAGACACTAATACTAAAAGCAGTAAAAAAGCTTATGTGGGCTTGAAAAAAATAAGTACGCCTCCAAATACAGCACGAAATTCTACAAAAAGTCTAGATATTAATCGTTATGATAAATCGTCTCCGAAAGTAAACACAAAATGCCGAAAATGTAAAAGTCGAACAACATCTAGTGTAGATAAGAAATGTCGCCGTCGTAAAATTCAGCGTCCATGTAAATTAACTACGACAAATTATGTACCGCATTCTGATTCAAACGCACCAACATCGTTGAAAACTGATGTTAATGGAAAAATTGATAGAAACAATTTAAACCCTCTTATCAAAAAATATGTAAATAAATTATTGGAACTCAATAGTAATGGCTTAAAAGCAATCGAAATCGCCAATCAAGAATGTAGTTCAGTAAGTACTCCAGGCAGTTCTATTATAGAAGTTTCACGTAACATTACTGGTGATACTACCGAAATTAGTAACAAAATATCGTTGGAGCAAATCAAAAATATGATAAAGCAAAAAATATTACAAGAATATGTCAAAGAGAATAACATCGAAGACTCGATCCAAGTATGCAATAACAGAAAGCCTAGAAATTGTTTATTAAAACCGTTGGGAACAAAAAGATCAGTTCATAAGGTAAAATCTTTAAATATATCAAAAAAAGTATTTAAATCGAAAAAGCCGAAAAAAGTTTTTAATCCCCCTTTTCCGACGCCTATCAATGAACCCAGTTGTAGCACATCGTCCCCATCACCAACTTCAAACATGTATATTAAAAAATCTTCCTCATCTATTTCAAAATTAACAAAAGAAACTAGCAAACGAATCCGTAGCAAGAGTTCTCCAACTCCAAGATTTACAAATAAAAGTGAATCTACTAATAATAACACGGATAATTCAGATGTTAATAAAGCATATAAGCGTTTACCAAATATAAACAATATTACTGAAAACGATATGGCTCATAAATATGACAAAAGAAGTGTACCAAAGGCAGATTATATGCTTCCACTTAATAAAGCAACAGTCACAATCCCTGACTTAGAAGATCATACCAATGGCTCGCAAACTCATACCGACGCTCCTACTAATACATCGACTCAAACAAGTCATGATTTAGACAGCGAGATAAATTTAATAAAAATGGCGGAAAACAAAATTCAAAATATGGAAAAGATTGCTGACTTGACTGAGAAATGCACAAAGAGGCTATCAAATTTAGCAAAAATCCTTGAAGAAGTCAGAAAAAATAAGTCTTCGGCATACAGTCATATTTCAACCTCGGATACAGCGTCTGACTCTGACCAAAAATCTGATAAAGTTAAGAATATTAGTGTGACGTCAAGGATCAAGGATCCCATCATTGAAGTTCAAAAAATACAAAGTAAAGACTCTGCTCATACACTTAAAACATTACCTGAAAATGATAATAAAACAACTTCAGAATATATCTCCTTTTTAAAAGATATTCCTAAACCGGAAGAATGTAAATTTACAACAACTTCAGTGGAAATTGACAAATACAAAATTGACGTAAATTCCACGGTAAACCAATTAATCAATAAAAGTAGAACTAAACCTCCTCCGGCATTATCTCGCATTACTCTCAAGCACGGACAAGATATTATTCCCCATGAATTGTCAACAGTAGTTGAAGTTGATTCACCTATGAGCCTAAAATTGAAAAACCAAAATTCGAAAGGATCACCTGGAGACTCTGTTCCAGAAATTACAAATCAAATAAATACCAGTATAGTTGAGAAAGACGTAGATCAAATTGTGAATACAGATATTCGAGTAAATCCAGATTTACTGCAGAATAATAGTGATATTGTATCCAAACAACACAGCTCGGATAATGGTTCATCAGGTGACACTAAAGTGGAAATGATGGATTTGAAGCAATTTAATGAAGTAATGCTTAAACCATTTATAACTCTGCAAGAATATGCTAAACAATGCGACGTTGGAATATTAGATGAAGGTTCTAATATCGATGATAACATTAAGGATGATTTAGTCAATGATGAAATGATTGAATGTTCGTTGCATTCGGATGGTAGTTTACCAGATGTGATTGCTGAATTATTGAAAAGGAATATTATAGCTGAACCTTTCAAGTTTGATACAATATCTAATATTAATTCTACTACAGTCTCATCGGAATCTACTTTATCGTTACTAGCACTGTCGAAAGCAAGGCAGAATAGAAAGAAATCTAGAGTAGCATTTCAAAGTAAAGAGAATACATCTGAAACATCAGATACATTAAGTATTTCCTCAAATCCTGATTTGGAAAATGCTTTTAAGAAATTGGGCATGGGATGGGCGTCCTCAACTTTGAAGAAAACAAAAGAACGTTTAGCTCTATCGTCATCTTCAAATACTTCTAGTTCTAGTTTATTGCAATTTAAAATAAAAAATATAGACAATCAGGAAATACCTTCATTAGTCACCGATTCCGTACTATCTGCTTCGAAAACATCAAAAAGGCAAAACCAAAAAAAATTTGCAGATACATCAAAAAATGTAGAACAGCAAACTTCTTTTAGGAATTCTATGACAGTAAAAGAATTTCTAACAAACGAATTGGCAAAAAGAATTACTTTTACTAATAAGAGTCAGAGAAACGAAACCGACGAAGAATTTGTTTCGTTGCTTGAAACAAAAATGCCAGAACAAATGAAACATTCTTCGCAAAATATACTCGAGGAACATTCTGTAGACAGTTTACCTAGTGGAAGTAATAATAGAGCGCGTACTTCAACACCAGTACAGATTTTTAAATCAATGACTTATCAGTCGAGTTCCAGCTCAAACGTATCTAATGGGTTGTTTAGTAATGCTGATGAATTATCATCCGTGAAAGTGACTTCTAATTCCATTCGTAATCATTCCACATCAGATAAAGGCGAATTGACTGTACCGAATTGCAGCTTGAAAGTGAGAAAAGGTGCTTCAGATTGCAGCAAAAGTGATTGACGATGTAGCAATATTTTTATTTATTTTTTAGAAAACTTAAAAGAACGTTATTATGTATGTACCAAGGTATTTTTGTATAATGAAATTTAAATAAATTGTCAGTTTTTTAAACATTTAATTTTTTCAACTAAATGTTTTTACAAATATTTAAACTTTCGATAAAGATAAAAATTTGTTCTAATTATTTGATCAATTTTGCATTCACAATGCCATACTGAAAATTAATGTTAGGTACTAGGTAGCTCAGTTAGAGCAGTCGCCCGGATTGCGAAAGGTCATGGGTTCGAGTGCCATCTCATAGTGTCAGGGACAGAGTGGATTTTTAAGCATTTTTATTAAGAATATTTTTCAATATAACATTGTGAATGCAAAATCAAATATGATCATTAGAACAAATTTTCATCTTTGTCGAAAACATTTCTTTCACCTGTTTCATCCATCCAGGATTGCCGAAACATTGATGAAAATACGCTCTGTAGTAGCGAAAAAGTAACAAATGCTTTAAAAATTCGTCAGTTCTGTTAGGTCCTGGGTAGCTCAGTGCTTAGAGCAGTCGCCGGATTGCGAAAGGTCACGGGCAGTGGCGTAACTACAGGGTGGCAAGTCGGCAAAATGCCACGGGCCCCCAGCTGGAAGCCCCCCCCCCCCCCGGTCAGAGGACATTTATTATTAGTAAAAAAAATGTATATTCGATGAATTTGGCATAGGCCTGAAGCCGTATAGTTACAACACTGGTCACTGGTTCGAGTTCCATCTTAGAGCGCCAGTTCCAAAGAGAGCTCGTGACAAAATTGTGCAAGAGCTTTCTAACGTTTGATATACTCCTTAACCATCCATAAGGAAGGCTTGAGCCTCTGCAGTGGGGACGTAAAAATGCTGGTGATGATGATGATACACTGTTGGTTTTCTCAATAAATAAATAAACCTCAAGGCCGTCACGGATGTGAAGGCGCTAGGAGTGTTTCTGACGGAACTGGGCTGGCTGGAATACCACGCACAACTGAAATTTTGCCGTCGAGTTGCGGAGACGACCGTGGAAAGTGGAAGTAATAAATAATTCTTCATTAAAATACATTTATTTTAATTTTCTATATCAATTATAGATCAATAAATAGCTAATAACTTAAACAACATTAATAACATTATCACAATTATCACAAAACAATACAGTACATTTTCCTACTTATGTAATTTAATAATATTTTATAGCATAAGTACATACATTTTGTTTGAGATAATAATTAGAGTTTCAAATTTTGAGATTCTTGTAAGTTACTTTTAAAAATGAATTTCTTTAAACAATCAAATAAATATTTTAAGCAATAATTTTTCAAGCTTGGATAAATACAGAAAATAAGTTATAATAATACTTATTGCTTTACTTTTTAGTTCTGTTTACAAAAAAATGTGAAGGGAATGATTTGTGGGATGAGTATAATTTACAAAAGACATATATATTCATTCTACATGATCTGAATTCCACACATACAAAATATGAGATCCCACAATTGTCTATTATAATTTTGAATATAATTTTTCCTTTCTCTAGAACTTAGTCAATTAGTTAGGGGCCATACATTAATCACGTGAGATTCGATAGGGGGTGGGAGGTTCGACAAAAATCACGAAATATCACAACGGGGGAGGTTGTGTAGTAATATACCATGTGTATTTATATTTTCCTCAAACGCGCAATTACTAAACCGAAAAGTGATATTTAGTTTTGAACTATTGCGCTGCATTATTACATATTTATAATAACGGTAATTAGACGCGATTTTTTCAATGACCTGTGAAAAGTTATGTCAAAATATACATGTGATTTGGATGGTTACTAAGGGGGAGGAGGAGGTTAGTTTTTGAATAAACATCACTTGATAAATGTACGGCTCCTTACACATTCCCTTTTATATATTACTTTTAATATAAATTCTCTACATAATTTAAAAATTTGCTACAACATTGAAAATAAAATTGTGATATTGTTTCGATATCATTGAAAATGTATAATTCATTTTTATCTTATCTTCAAAAAATAAATAATGTTATTCACATATTTCTAAACAATAGTTTTGCTATTAATGTCCCCTAGTTTTTTGTTAAGTTATGCTATTCTTTCTTCTCATCCTTAAATAGATGTTGCTTGGCTAATGTGTATGCTAAGCCAATAGTGAGTGCTGACACAACAGTACCCTGAGCGGCCACTCGCAGTTGCATTAAAAATACACTTGTGCTCATTTTACCTCTATTTTTATAGGAATATGCACCCCAGCCACATACTCCTATTAATCCTAAAATACCTGTAATATAGAAAATAGACATCATTATTGTTTACCATTTTGAGTATGCAATCAATCAAGCAGTATAAATTTGATGACTTATGCCAAAAAATTATATATATAAATATCAGAATGACTATGAAGTATTTTTGTATTGATTTGACATACTCGAACACTTCAATATATTGGCAGTTCTTATATCTATTACTTTGACTGTATCCAATCATTTTAACACCTTGAACAGTGCCCAAATATTTGACTGAGTGCACCTACCTCAGATAAGAGTTTCGAGCGTAAGTCTTGGATTCGTAAATGACGTCATGTACTTTGGAGCCCATGAACAGAATTCAATGTAAAAAATGTGAGCAATATCAAAATTTTGAATAAAATTTCTAGAGAAATTAACCTAAAGCTTAAAAGTTTTTGTAGTTTATTTTGTGATTTTCATTACCTATGATCATAAAAGGGGAATCCTTTGATTTTCTTGCTAATTTCTCTGCTTGAGATTCTTCTGAATAATCGAAAACACGTTGTGAGTTAGCCATACCTGTAAATGAATAGGTAACAAAAAAATCAGTAATTTTAAAAATAGAAAGAACTTTAAAGACTATTTCCTTTTACGGTAAAGAAGGCATCTAAAAAGTATAAAAAAAAAACACTTAAATTATTCCATATTAAAACTGAATGTATGGATTTACTTACCTACTTTTTCTGTTTAAGTGATATTGTGTAAATTATATAATTGCACTTTTCCTTACATTGCATCACTCACAAATGGTAATGAAAAAGCGAGGCACGCACGTAACGCCCTTCAAATTTCGTTCAATGAAAATGAAATGTCAAAGTTTGACAGCTTAGCGCTGACCGTTGATTGTCACTGTCATTAGAATCAGCTGTAGGTAGAGTATGATTGTTCTGTGGCTGTAGCTGTAGCTGCTGACAAACAACCATTGACATAAAGAGTAGACCGGCCATACCTACGAAACAAGACAGAGAAGCGTATATGCCTAAACACTAACTGTCATAGGGCGCAACACACGATACCGATATTTGTATCGACAAACTACTTTGCTACAAAACTACTACTTATTAAATAATGTAATATAATTTCCTTTGTTAAGGACATGACTAAACCATTACATTTCTATTAATTTCACACTTACGTACCAATTAACTATTTGTAAATTAATTAAATGGTGTTTATTATTTTCTTAAAAGTGGCGTGAATTTATAAATTATTTAAAAATCTGTAAGCTGTTTCATGTTTTGTTGGACATCTAAAACTAATGTTTCTTGCGACTTCGCTCGCATTAGTATAGTAATTATACCAGCGTACGATGTAGCTTCCCACAGGTAAAATATTTTTAAATCAGTCCAGTGGTTTTAAAGTCTACTCGAGGCAAACAAACATTAAAATCTTCCCTCTATATAATATGAATCTAGACTAGTTTCCGACATCGACTTAAATCGCTCACTGAATAGTACAGTGGCACAACTCAAAAACCATAATTTCGAGAAACGCTCTCCGAAGTTATGAAAATGTAATATATTTATAATTATGAAAATCAATTTTTTTAGCATAACAGTTAAATCGTTTGTATTATATTATTACTGTTAAGTTTTTAATTTTTTCTTTTAATTATCTATGGGATGCCACCACAATGATGTGGCGATTTCTCGAAATTATGGTTTTTGAGTTGTGCCACTGTACTATTCAGTGAGCGAAATGTTGTTTAAATATTTAATTTAGGCTTACAATTATTCATATTCCAAATTTCATCAAAATACGTTGAGTAACTTTTGCATAAGAGTATAAACAACCATCCTCACAAACTTTTACATTTAAATGAATTAAATAAAATTTTATTTTATAATATGGTTGCACTTATCCTTTTTTTATATAGATAATTTTACATAGTTTTAAGAACTACACTACCTAATTATATATCTTTAAAGTATTTTCAATTGTTTTTTAAAATTAGTATCATATATATATTGTAAATTTGACATTTTGAAATCATAATTAAATAGTTTAAACATAAGTTTAAATTTGCAGCCATGGGAAATGTGACACAATGCCCAAGATCTCTACCACCTTACTCCCTACAATAAATTTGTGTGGTTAATATCATGCTCTTTGTTGTGACTATTAAAAAGGTTTCTTATAAAATTATCATAATATTCAATTAAAACTCTAAAAATATACATATAATAACGTTCGGGTCTAATCTTTTTATCAAAATGATATTTCAGTAACTTCTCACTTTCGGGTCTGAGGGATATTTTAATCCACTCCGAGATTTCATAGCAATCAAGATCAATCGATAAACAATAGCGATGATATTTGATTGACAATGCACCATCTCAAAATAGAACAAATCCATTTTCTTATTTTTGTTTCATTTTGTGGTAATCTTTATGTATATATTCTTAAATAATAAACTTATCGATATAAAGCAACTGTTAAAATAACAACGCAAATGAGAATACATCCTGGTAAGTTTACAAATGGTGGATAAGTAGTACGAACACAATATGTTATGATGTCACGTAAAAAAATAGTACTGTCAAACTAGTGTCACCTATGTTTACTAAAGAAAAATCTCAGTAGTATAAAATGAACAACATTATGTTTTAGATGTCAACTTCTGATTAACTAATAACCCAAAAGTTTATATAGGTCTATATTTCCACTCTTCTATTCTCTATGATCTTATCACACCAATGTATCACAAGATTTAAAAAAGAATCTCTGGTAACAAATATGATTATAATTTAAGTTAGGATCTCATAAGGAATAAACTCCTCACTAACTAGGGGACACGCTCATTTGATCAATTGAGCCCTAGAAATTGGGGAGTGTAATTGGGGTTACAATAAAAATGCATACTAAATAAGTAGGGTTTAGAAACTCATTTAATCCACACGGGTGAAGCCGCAGGTAGAAAGCCAGTACTTATACTGATTATCAATAATTCATAGGTACCTGTTTTTTTACGATAAATCAGGAAAAGAGTAGATACTAACTTTATCAATTGATTTCTTTGAGTATTAAACCAACAATAATTGTAACCGGCAGACGTACCTCTCTGTAAAAGATATTTGCTCAATGGGCATGCTCGTTATATAAAACTGTTAATTCTCACTTTAAATCATCATAATATAAGCGCTTACAAATTGTCAAAAGGATATAGCACCCTTTTGGTGGTATGTGATTGCTCCCCTGTCCGCCCTTGATACCCTGACCTTTTAGGTGATACCCTCCCATCCGATGCAGCTGATAGCTGCCCCTCAAGGAGTCAGCTATTTGTATTTAACAAGTCGAACCCCTTCAGGGTAATAATACTCTCGATGTCACATTTCACGTAGTTGTAATGCGACGTCTGCGCTGCCCCTTGCGGTGGGGCCGCCGTTCCAGTTGAAGGATCGTTGCCTCCTGGCAAATAACCATCACTTAATTTGGTGCAGTCGTTTGGAAGTTATGCGCGTACATATATTTTGGTGATTCATTTATATACACGAATGTTTAAAAATAAAACAGTCTAGTTAATCCATATGCAACTTGTTGTTTAATTTTTGTTGTTTTTAAACTCAAATACTAAAATAAAAAATTTACTATATTAGATTATTTAATTTCGGAAATTGTGGTACGAAATTCATGTAATAAAAATCCGCTAAGTTTTAGCTCATTTGCATCGTTGCTGCATGCATGTTATTATTTAAGTTATATCTGACTTATGTTTTATTAAAATATATTTTATTTCATAATAAGCTCTTTTCCCACTACTTGACACCTGCGTACGATGTGGTTTCTCGGAGATGAAAGAATTTATAAAATCGGCTCAGTTGTTTCGGAGCCTATTCAATGTAAACCAACAATGAAATCTTAACACTTCATAATATTAGAATAGATATATACGAATATGTGCGCAACTAAAGAATGCAATGCAAAACAAATACAAATAAAGAATATCTTATCTATCTATAAATTTATCGATATCGATAAGTCTCTCACACTATTCATTTCACGCTATTTTATAGTGTAGCGTCGTGAAACATTTAGATGTTCTATTGAGTGAATATGATTGTGTGCATGTAGTTTGTGAAAGTGTGTTACAATTTCGGTGTGTGCGTCAATAACAACACGCTGCGAAAATGCATTAATGTTAACATTTTAGTTAGTTGCATTACCTCCTTAGATGGCAGACTATTTTGTGTTGAAAAAGTGCCGATTGTACCTCTTGTTGGTTTAATACTCTAAGATTGAATTCAACATTTTACACATTAGGAAACATGAATAAATTCATGTTCAATTTTACAGAATAGTTTTATCGGAATAAAATCATTCAATATCAATAAATCACAAACATTTCACAATAAAGTCTGGTCAATAAGAGAACCGTCGTGTTCAGCAAGGAAGTAACGTGACGATTTTTACATGGCAACCCATCATTATCGTTAAATTGTTCACGATTTCTTTATTTTTATTGGATATTCGCGCTTTACAAATAACAAAAACTGTAATTATGCACAGTTACGCCACCAAATCCTACGACAGTTCTCTTTTTAAGCAGACTGTAGATACCTACTGATATTTTTCATATATTTACAAAACAAAACAAAACAAAAAAAGTGTAATTTAAACAAATAAGAAAAATTGCTACAAAAATATTTAAAAAAAGTTGATTTATAATATTTAATATAAACTTAACACACGCACACTAACATTTGGTCCCACAAAACTTTTTTATAAATTACTTACGTGATTTAATGATTATATTGAACTACCCAGTACAAGTATAAGTATAAATTATAAAAATTAAAAGAAAGTTACAGTGTATATTTTTTGCCATTCTTTTTCTTAGATTATTTAAGGTTCTATCAAATAAGTTAAATCTGTTTATATTACAGTAACATCTAAGGTTAAATACAAAAATGTGTTTATTGTATCATTTGTTGATTAGTCTACACATAGTCATAATGAGATATTTATTCTTATTTAGGGATTTTTAGAGAATATATACTGCCTTTTTTACTACTTGTAGTATCCGCCAATGCCCCTCTCGCTTCTAGTTTTAACGTTGTTCATAATATGGTTCACCTATTTTTTACCAAACATAAAGTATAGTATAACAGCTCTCTATGTTGAACAGCAGAAGAGAAAGCAGAAAACAGCTCTAGATATGAGCCCTTTTAAATATCTGGTTTTAAGTGAACCAGTCATGGTGCGTCATTGTTGGTTGCCATCTCTGACTAAAAAGCACTTAGATACACTTAGGCCCAGATCTACAACTTTTTCCAAGCGGGGTAAAAACTTTATTTTTTTTAAAAGATATTAAGTTTACTCTATTATCACGATTACTTATTAAAATAATAATCCCATTCAACCACACTTCGCTATATTTTTCAATTAAAGCAATATTGTGTAAAAAAATTAAGTAGCAAATCGAACTTTGTTTATAGATATGTTAGTTAGAATATAATTTAGGAACTTAAATACCTACTTATGTAAAAAAATAAACCTATCTTTAAAATTTTACCTATTATTCATACTAAGTACTTTTTGAAAATTTTTGAGAAAAGGACTTTTGTTACGAATAATATCTCCTAATTTCTGATAATATTGATTCATATGAAGATTCATCTATAATAACAAATCTTTTAGCTCGTCTACTAAAAAAATATATATCGCCAGTGTAAATGTCAAACCATAAAGCGTGAATATGCAAATCATGCTTCTGCAACCGCTTTTTGAGCATTCCGTAAGATGCGACATTTTGTAGTTGCTGTAGTGTATTTACCTAAAACAAATACATTTAAAAATATATAAAACAATTAAGTAATCATGCATGTGCATGAGTTTCAGTGAATTAATAATAAATGAAGTACTCATGTAAATTTTTACCTGTGACAACTTATCTTCTATGCAAAATTGATTTTCTGGGTCTATATAAGCTACAAATTTTCGCTGAGGCGTCTCAGCTGTAAAAAGCATAGGCTTGGAAAAATCTCCATTCATCTCGAGAAACTTTTTTAATGAAGATTGTCCGTGTGTACACAACCATGACTTTAAGGGAGATATTCTTCTTTGCTCCTGTAGACAGAACATAAATTTATTTAAAGATAAAAGTGGGTAATTCTTTAAATTACCCCTGCGCTCTGTGAAGCCGGGTTTTAAATTGTAATATTTTTGTAGTATATGATATTTTTTGGGATTTTGAAACATGCCCATCTCTTATAACGTCTACGAAGAGATTTGTAAAGCTCTTTTTATAACTATAAAAAGGTATTGCACAATGACGATTTTGGCGTCCCCTTAAATTCGGATCTGTTGGGAGCACAGCAATGATTGTATTCAAACAAATATAATAACGAAGTGTATTTGCATGTCCAGATATGGTGGATACGAATACATGTATAGAGTCAGCCAATGAATAGCCGTCGTTGATCCAATCGGCTAACGGATGCCAACAATAGAACTGGAAGTAAACATAATATAACGCTAATTGCCAAAAGTTTTACTTACTATACTTGATTCTTCTTTGCTTTTCAATTTATAAAGAAGATTCATTGCCTTACAATCACTGTGGCCGCACACAATAACGTGTCTTATATCATTTATAACACATGCAAGTTCCAAACCTGCAGGCTCACAGCTAGTCATTTCATCCATGAAATGCTGTGAATGAGGTAAAAGATTGCCAGCATTACGTACTGTAATAAAAAATAAAATGAAATAAGAGCCGGATAAATGTTCATATCAAATACTATATCACTTCATTTCATTATGGACTTGCTTAAACCATGAGTAATGAGGTGCTCACGCCTTACAAATTTGTTTTAACTGTACATATATTGTATTAATAAGAAATCCTCATGATTTTGTAGAAGATAATAATATTTTTACATTTAATGAGATAGCTCATTTTAAATTTGGTATCTAGAAATCTCAATATAACTCAAGGTTTTCATCAAATCTTCTCACCAATAAACATCACTCTTAAAGACTTCTGTATATATGCTGTATATTGATGAAAGCCGCATTAAAATCTGCTGTGTAAATATAAAAGATCTCAGTGTACAGACAGCGGGAAGCGACTTTGTTTTATAATAATGTAAATGTTAAGCCTAGGCTTTTTGTTTTCCGTGATTAACGTTTTACTTAGAGCTATAATGTATTATTTACAATAATAGCGAACCCAAGAAAGGAAGAAATAATTACAAACCTACAAACATATCTCCGACACTAGTTTCAGTAAACCTAGTAGGAATCATTCTACTATCCATGCACGTGTAGAAGACCGCTTTAGGCTAAAATTTTATAAGACATATTTAAAAACAAAAATAGTAACTACAATTACCATTTTATTGGTTGCGTTAAAAGCCGGCATTAGTGCATGTAAAAGTCCCAACAATCTAACGCCCAATATTCATAGGCATTATTGTTCTTCAAATTAACGAATTTTGACTAATATTTTTGAAATTTTAACATCTATATAGAATCTAAATCGATGTCGCCGTATTTCAAAAATAATCAGTTAAATTATTTTTGAAGAACATTAATGACGTTAAGTATCAAACCGAAGGTCAAGTTTTCGATAATCACGAACGCTGCATGATGTGAAAATGATGTTTAAAAATGGCTCCCATGTGAATATATACTTAGAAATACATTATCGCAAATGAGGATAAGGCCAACAGGCTGATAATGATAATACTAAATAATGTTGATGAAAAATTTAATAAGTAAAATACTATATTTTCAAATGTAAATGTAAAGAACGTTTAAGTTCCACATTTATATTTTAGACAATGTACAAAAATGTAATGTTGTTAAAAAAGACAAGGTTTTATGAGTTATAGTAATGATTATTTTAATAAAGTTCAACCCAATAAGTTTAGTTATTCTATAAATATTAAACAATTGATCATATAGTTTTAAAGTTATCATTCGAATGTTCGAGTTATTCATATATTTACGTAAATGTAAGGTGTATGTAGTTTTTTTCTTTTTTTTTTACAAGTTTTTCTGTGGATCCGTCTCGGTAGCTAGCAACAAGTGTCTTTGCTTTGGTATAAAGTCAATGTCATTGTCACACACTATGACATTGACATTTCGTAAGAGATTTCGAGTCTAGAACTGTCAAACTATAAGAAATTTAAAAATAATTTAAACATAATTGGTTTATGTGGTATAAAATACGAGGAGATAATTTTTGTGACGGATGTTATGAGATTACAAAGAAAGCTTTAAAGGAAAGTAAAGGTCAGTCTCATTGGTCTTTTACTGTCACTTACCGTAGGATTATCCTTTACTTCCTGAAATTGTTTCACCATGCTTGCGCGGTCTAAAACACGATATCTCATAATGCCTCTTAGTATTCTTTCCATTTCTCAAATATAACACATTGACATTAGCACTATACTATTTATAATTCACTCAATAACTGCAGTTAATGAAGACCGACAAAACAATTCTTTATTAAGGCACTTTCGTTTGACATTTCTGACCTTGAGTAACGGTGCTTATCGTGAACGAGTCGTCTTTAGGGTCATCATACATACTCTATTAAATAACATTTATTTCATTACCTTTATCTAATATTTTTGGCCTATTATGAGCTAGATTATAATCACACATATTTGCTGATAAAAACGTCAACTAGATTGTTGAATATATTTACATTATACTATTTTAATAGAGAATCTATTCATTTATCTACAATCGGTGGTAATTGATAAAAATAATTGTTAAGTTTCTTATATAACAATTTACAGATGAATGCTGAAAAAGTTATGGGGGATGGTGCTCAAAATGATGTTGGTCCAGTGCCAGCTTCGTTACCCTTGAACCATCGTTTTATAACACCAGAAAAAGCTGTTAAGACGATATCTGACATGGCAATTTGGGAGAAGTCTGAGGCATATATGGAATACACTGGTTTTATTGTGACATTAAATGAAGCTATCAAAGGGAAACCATTGTCTGTTGACTGTAAAGTATCTGAAAATGTAATGAAAATAATGGATATGCTTGAAAAAATAAATAAACTTATTGATGAGTTTCCTCCTATTGAACAACCGCAGAGATTCGGTAATGCAGCTTTTAAGGACTGGCTTACAAAAGTTAAAAGTATCACAACAGTAATGTTACAAGAAACTTTAGATCTCAAGCTCCATCTAGCAATACCTGAAATTAAAATATATTTAGAAGAAAGTTTTGGAAATGCTACCAGGATTGATTATGGTACTGGCCATGAAATGTCATTTGTTATGTTTCTATGTTGTCTCTACAAAATCGGAGCATTGCAAGCTGAAGATAATGTGGCCACCGTATTTATGATATTCAATAAATATATTAATATAGCGAGAACATTACAAAAAACTTACAGAATGGAGCCTGCGGGTAGTCATGGTGTCTGGAGTCTAGATGATTACCAATTCATACCGTTTATTTGGGGCAGTTCACAGCTAATTGATCAACCTAAAATTTATCCACCAGCTAAATTTCTTGAGGATGATATTATTGATAAATATGCTGATGAATATATGTTTCTTTCATGTATAAAATATATAAAAGAAGTTAAAACTGGTCCATTTGCGGAACATTCTAATCAGTTATGGAGCATAAGTGCTGTAGGGTCATGGCAGAAAATCAATCAAGGACTAATTAAGATGTATAAGAAAGAAGTTCTAAACAAATTTCCGGTTATCCAACATGTTCTTTTTGGATCTCTTCTTCCCATACGTAGATTTCCTATTACACATTGATTTCTTTTTTTAATGACGTGTGGATTATTAACTGTATTTAAGTTAATCAGTATTAACTATGTGCAAATTATTTTGTCGATGCCAGTGGGCATAAGGAATGTGATATTTGTGTAAAATTATATACTTAACTAAGTAATAGATCTACTAATTTTTTTTATTTATAACAGGTATTACTTAGATCAGTCATCACATAAATGAAACTTAACAAAGATCATATTTTATGTTTCTCCTCTTGTTTGACATTTTAACATTTATAAAATTGCTAATTTGGGGTTAAATAAAACACAAGTAAATATTTGTTTTTATTTTCGAGTTTGAATATATACATATATATATACCTATAAATATTTATGTATCAAAATAAAAAAATCCAAAATCATTGAAAACTATGGTACGCTTGGCGTCGGTTACCACAATGTGTCAAATTTCTGCAATGAATATCGACCTCTACTTTCTAAATTTAAGGTTTAAAATCGAGTGGGGTTCGACAGTTCTGTAAAATCTGACGTGCAGTTGATTGTACATAAAAAACAACATTAAAGTTTTTTTTTCGTCGGTCAAAATTCTCAGATAATACATAAATAAGTAATTAAGAATTCGATTGGCGGTTAGGTAAATCTTGGTAAAGTAAAATTCTAACGTGTGTCTGGGGGTGAATATAAGTTTTATCTTTTATTTGGTGATAGTTATCGTTACGCACTGTGCCGGTTTCCATACTAAAACTATCGAAAATAAACATAAACATCTAAACAAAATTCAAACTACTTAGTACTCTGGAATTAACTCCTGAAATAAACAATATACGTAGAGCTTAAAATAGATTTGTCAGGGTGCCAAGTTTTTAGTGCATCGCTCGGTATCTAACGAATATGAAAATTCGTATTAGGAGTTAACATTAGGGCGCTGTACTATCGGCGCGGGAAATGGCCTCCGGGCTGTCGCCATGCATTGCCTTCATGGAGAGGGTCATCGCTGAGTTTCAGTGGGTAAACCTCTGTTTCTTGAATAGCCCTATTCTGAGGTGGGGGGAGTCCCGCATAAGCCGCCGGCTTCACGCTAGGGGGAACGAGTATGCGTAAAGCATTTATCAGCATCAAAAAATAAATAAAAACAGGGGCGCTGTACTACTATAATAAATACAACATATAATACTATTATTTTATTCATTTCATCGACCTTATAAAAAGTAGCACTCTTTTTTTTTTTTTTTTTATATAAAGGAGGGCAAATGACTGCGCTCCACCTGATGGTAAGCGGAGGCGTAGTCCAAACGCGAGGACAGCTAGTGAAAACAGTACGTAGGTACTGCACTAGCCAACCTCACCTTGCCGACCTGCAAGGTGCTTCTTCACGCCCCGCTTGAAGGACCCCATGTCATAGGAAGGAGGGAATACATGGGCCGGGAGACAATTCCATTTTTTGGTAGTACGACAGAGAAATGAGTCGCCAAATTTCTTTGTACGCGAAGGAATCGCTGCCACAGTTAGTTGGTGGCAACGCAAACCAGCACGTGTGGTCCTGAGGAGGAAGGGAGATGGAGGGATAAGGGAAAAGAGTTCTTCAGCACCCAAGTGAAACACCCTGAGGTTCGACCGCCTAAAATCACTAAGATGTAAATTGTAATAGATGAACACATTTTGATGTACTATTTGGTTTCTATTTTCTAGGTTTTGGATAGAAAGAAAGGTTTTGAAGAGAAAAATACAAAATCTCTACTAATTATTCTCAAAAACTAGTATTTTCCGTTTCACATGGCAAAAAATCCTTTTTTAACGTTAGAAAATGCATTACTGCATACCCACTCTTCTCTGCGCGGAGTTGGCGGGTTAGTAAAAAATCAGGTGCATACCCACTAGAACCTAACGATGTCCCTCTATGACTGCTATCAACTGATTATATAAAACATTAGAATCAGAAACGAAAACCTGTTTAAATGACTTTTGAGACACGTGCTTAACTTCAAATTCTCAATTCAGAAACCGGGTGATTTTTCTAAAGATAATTCTTCTCAATTATCTGGGAACCTTAGTTATAGAATGTGCGTTAGTGTTCTTTATTGCTTTATCTTGTTTTAGTTATGATCTCCAATTTGATGATGTGTATGATACGGTTGATTAGTCCACCAGACTAGATAAACCAATAAAATATCTTTATAAGAAACAAATTTATTTCCATTTAGTCAACATCTCGACTATATACAGTAGCCCTCATATAGATTTCCACAGACATTACACACCAAATACACAAATCGAAAAATCAAGACCTAACTATACAAAAACATATAATAGCTACATATTCCTATAATTTAATCACAGCAATTGGTAACTTAAACATTTGATATAGACTTTAGTGCATTCTACTTGGTTACCTGAGAAGTAATCAAGAGATGTTTTGTTCCTACATCGACCATTACTTGACAAATTCATGGCATTATTAATATCCTGTAGGTATCACGTAAATTTCCTTAATGATCCAGTTGTATTTTAGTAGGTTGGGTCTCTAATCTCGGTCGTAGTTGTTACACGTGGTATGGGGATTTCTTTGTTTATTTAGTGAATATTAGCCCATTTTCTACGTGGAATTACGAAATATTGTGTTTATATTTAGTACTAACAGCTGGTATTGGTAAGTAGTCATAGATTTCTGTTTCCCCGTCCTTTCCACTGATTACAAAATAATCAATGGAAAGGACCCCTCCTGAACCTCCGGATCCGCCGGATCGGCCTTCTACTCCACTAATGATGGAACTTTCTCCTCCGCTATTCACACAGACAGGAGTTAAACGTCGAAATGAAATTGAACCCGAATTGACTAACACACCCAAAAGAGTAATAACAGAGGTTAGGCAGACAGATGTCACAGAGAACCCTCCCGGTATATACACCCACCCATCTATAAACGAAACTAACAAACAATATATTGATAGTGATAAAGGCCCTTTTATTGTTCATATCTCTAAAACTGAAACAGATCCCTCATCAGGCATATCAATTCATCCCATTAAGTTTGGCCAGTTACTAATTAAAAACAAGATTAAAAATATTGTCAATGATGGTATTAAAAAAGTTGGTCGCAATAGAATTTCTGTTGAATTTATGACCGGTTTGGATGCAAATCAGTTCATAAACAACTCCTTCCTTTCAATCTATAAATATACTGCACAAATACCTAATTACAATGTTACTCGCATGGGAATTGTTAAAGGTGTACCATCTGATCTATCAATGGAAGAGTTAGTAGAATCGTTAGTAATCCCTGTTAGCTGCGGTCATATTTTGAAGGCAAGACGACTTAATAGAAAGACTGTGATAGATGGCAAAGTGACCTGGGTACCAACTCAAACTGTAGTTCTTACATTCCAAGGACAGGTCCTCCCTAATAAAGTTTTTGTTTACCATACGTCCGTGCCAGTAGAAGCTTACCATTTTCCCACTATACAATGTCTAAACTGCTGCAGATTTGGACACATTAAAGTACAATGCCGGTCTAAACCACGTTGCTTCCGCTGCGCTCAACCTCACTCTGGGGAATCATGTAGTATTATTGAAGCACAATCAACTTGCCTTTTCTGTTTAGGCTGTCATTATGCTACTAACAAAAGTTGCCCAGAACAGTCTCGACAAAGATCAATTAAAATACTCATGTCACAAGATAATATTTCATACCAAGAAGCATCCCAAAGATTTCCCTCAGTGAAAAGATCCTATGCGGATGTAACCCAATCTCCTCTATCGAGGCATCCCCATATTCAGCACACACAAACATCTCCTAACAAACATCCAACAGGTACAACTTCATACCGGAAAACTGTATTCCTTCCCCCAAGCTCTAGAACCCCTTTGAGCCCGGGATATGATCGATTAGCCCATCAGGCTATTATTGAAAACTGCCCCTCTTTCCTCCCAAATGGCTGCGCTCTCAATAATGACAATGCACCAATAGAAATCTCCCCAAATGATAACTTGTTAGAAACCCTCTTAACATTTGTTGTAAGCCTTCTAAATAGATTTGATGACATCCCAGTACCGACCAACGTTGCGCAAAAAATCAATCAACTTCACAAATTTCTCACTAATAACAAAAATGGCGACGATAATTCAATGGAACTGCAGTAGCATTAATACCAAAACTCATGAACTAAATTATTTTATAAATAAATTCTCCCCATCTCTCTTTGCCTTATCGGAGACATGGTTGGTGCCTGGTGCACTCTATGGCATATCCGGGTACTCCTGCCTCCGGGATGACAGGAGGGACGGTTATGGAGGGAGTGCATTGCTGGTCAGCTACTCCCTCCCTTTTAATAAAATCAACTTACCACCCCACAGTGACAGCATTAACGCAGTGGCTGTGAGACTCTTAAACATAACATTTTTATCAATATACATTCCTCCCCAATCTTCACCTAATATTGTTATCCCAGAATTAATAGCCATTATTATGACACTTCCTCCTCCGGTAGTAATTATGGGAGACTTTAATGCACATCATGTGGTATGGGGTTCATATTCAAATGATTCCCTCGGTTGCCAACTTATTGACTTATTAGATGAGAGAGATCTTTGTCTACTAAACGATGGAAGCCCCACTAGAAGGAACCGCCCTAATCAAAACCCATCAGCAGTGGATATCACAGTTTGTTCTCCTTCACTGGCATCGAATATATCATGGACCGTATTAAGTAGTACACACGGCAGTGATCATTTCCCAATTTTAATTTCGACATTAGATAGTCCCCCTTCTACTAACCGGCCACCCCCCTTATTACAATTTAGACTTCACAAGGCAAATTGGTCAGCTTATTCTGAGACATTGGACAGTAATGTAGATAGCCTTCCAAAAGTAACGTCTGAAAATGGTACCAAAGCTTATGACGCGTTAGTGGAATACTTAATTGACGCCGCACATATAAACATCCCCAAAAAAAATTGCACCCAAAAAAAAATATCTCCTCCATGGTGGGACTCTGAATGTTCAGAGGCTATCAAAAGACGGAAACAAGCCGAAAAAAAATACAATCATTCCATGTCCATGGAAAACTTCCTTTCGTTTCAACGAATTGCGGCTCAAACTAAAAAATTAATCAAACAAAAAAAAAGAACAGGATGGAATAAATTCTGCGAATCTTTGTCACCTGGTACCCCTTCAGCAATAGTCTGGAATCAACTTAAAAGATTCCGTAGAGCTAACAACCGTCGTAACTTGACTGCCAACGATTCCTCAAGCTGGATTGAAGCGTTTGCTGATAAATTAGCTCCTTCATCTGTCCCAAATGCTGACTGCCTTCCCATCAACCCCAATATCCACTTTCCCTCCACAGACATCATAGACGGAGCTTTTACCTTTGAAGAACTTCAAAAAGCGCTTTCTGGCCTTAATGATACATCTCCAGGTCTAGATGGAATTCCATACTCCTTTTTAATTAGAGCCCCAGATAAATTAAAACAATATTTCCTAAAATTAATTAACCTTTTTTATGATAAAGCTCTCATCCCTGATCAATGGACAAAACAGATTGTGATTCCAATACTAAAACCGGGTAGGAACCCATCCGACCACTCCTCTTATAGGCCTATAGCCCTTTCGTCGGTTCTCTTAAAAGTCGTCGAGCATATAATGAAAAATCGCCTAGAGTGGTTTGTAGAAAGACATGACATTCTTGCTAAATCACAGTTCGGTTTTAGAAAAGGATATAGCACTTTAGACAGTCTCAGTACTCTTACAACAGACATCCGTTTAGCGTTAGTGAAAAAAGAATACCTAATTGGAGTATTCCTGGATATATCGTCTGCATATGACAACGTCCTTATTCCGGTGCTCAGGCAGAAAATGCAACATCTGAACATCCCAGTGAAGTTGGTTCGATTCATTTGCAACCTGATAACGTCCAGGTCTATTTTGATAAGGTCTCAAAACCATACATTGGCTAGGACTGTATGGAAAGGCCTACCACAAGGATCGGTTCTTAGCCCCATACTTTACAGTTTATACACTTTCGATATGGAACTTTCGGTGAACCCCTTCTGCCAGATTTTACAATACGCTGATGACGTAGCCCTTTACGTCACAGTGAAATCAATACCGGAGGCTACTTCACGACTTAACTCTGCTCTATCATATCTCGGTGATTGGCTGTCTGACCATGGACTATCCGTCTCCACACCAAAATGTAGCACCGTAATCTTTACAAAGAAACGAAACATCCCTGCTCCGAACATCAAATTTCAGGACTTCACAATAGAAATTAGGCCTTCAGTAAAGTTCTTAGGGATGATACTTGACTCTAGACTCACGGGTACTGAGCATTTCAATAATATTGCCAGTAAGGCAGAAAAGGGCGTAAACGTTTTGCGAGCTTTGTCTGGCGTCTGGTGGGGCGCACACCCAGTAACTCAAAGACTGCTTTATAACGCAATAATTCGTAGTCACTTTGACTATGGCTCATTTCTCCTTGACCCATGCAATAAAACAGCTCTGGATAAAATCAACAAAATCCAATCGAAGTGCTTACGAATTATACTAGGGGCAATGAAATCCTCCCCCATCAATGCCCTTCAAATAGAAGGGGGCGATCCCCCACTTTTTCTGCGTAGACAATACCTCAGTGACAGATTTCTCCTTAAGGTTTTACAAAATGAAAATCACCCATTGTTACCTTCTTTAGACAAGCTGACCCATTTATCAAATATAAATTCTAATTCTTCTCATAAAGTACCCTGTATAGTTACTAGTTATTATAAGTTCCACCGCCCATCCATTTCCATTGAAAAATTTCCTTGCAACCCTTTGTTTTTAAACAGCTTCGAGTCTTTAGTTTTCGATCCGCCCATCTCACTTAATCTGGGTATTGAAAAACAGTCACCCAGTTCAAATAAATCCTTCAATGAGGTAATGTGTAAAAACTGGCCGCATTGGCTTCAAATATTTACGGATGCATCCAAGATTTCAGATACTGAGAGTGTTGGAGCGGCAGTATGGATACCCAAGTATAAGATAGTCCTGAATTTTAAAATACCACCACCCTCATCAGTCTTTACGGGTGAAGCAATCGCAATATTGGAGGCAATTTTATATTGTGAATCACACAATTTAAACCGCTCAATCATCCTATCCGATTCTCTTAGCTGCCTTCAGGCAATATCCTCCAATCCCATGCGGTCCAAATCTCGCTTCCCAATTATCCTCAAAATTAGAGAAGCTTTACTTAGATGTAAAGTGAAAGAAATAGAACTGATGCTGAGCTGGATCCCAGGTCACAGTGGCATACACGGCAATGAAACTGCTGATTCGTGTGCCAGGAATGCAATCTCCACTGGTTGTACTAGTCATTCCGAACTTACATATAACGATCTCATCCCCCTCCTTCATTCTCATCTATCGCAATCATGGGAGACGCATTGGACAAACACTAAAAATAAGAGTGGAAAGTACTACTTTGACATCCAACCAACTATTCCAACAAAACCTTGGTTCATAAAACAGAAACATACTCCCAAACAGGTTGTATCAGTGTTATGCCGTCTCCGCATTGGACACGCAAGCTTACCAGTTCATTTGGCCAAAATTAATGTTAAGGATAATCCCCTTTGTGAGTGCGGCCTAGATGAGGGATCTGTAGAACACACACTATTTGACTGCCCCAAACTCTTGTATTCCCTGTATGATGTACTCCCACAAGAAGTTCCTCGCCCCATTAATATTAAAAATGTGCTTCAACTGGTTAATACACCCTGTTTAAAAACACTAATTAAATTTATCTTAAGTAATAAGTTAAAATTATAATGAACCATTCCTTATTTCCCCCTTACTAAAATGTTATGCCTGTATATGTGTTGTGTTGTGTAACGTGATGCATGCGATAAAATGTGTTTTGTTTCAGGTTCGTTATCGACATAGAAAGTGTATAATTATTTATTTAAATATTAGAATCTCTTTTCCAAATTAATTATGTATAGAATCCCTATCGTGTAGTGGCTATCCACGTGAAATTGGCGGAATTGTGCGAAAAGCGCAGATGGGCCATCAATAAAAGAAGAAGAAGAAGAAGAAGTATTTTAGTAGTCAAATGAATAATATAAAATAATATAATAACAAATTCATTTTTAATTTCATACAAATTGTAGGTAATCATTGTGTAGCCTACATAAGATTGCACTTCGCGCAAATTGCGATGAGTCGCTGTTAAATAGTACGACTAAATTATAAATACTTAATTTAAATAAATAATTTTCATTAGTTTCCTAAAATAATAAAAAGTGGAAAAATTACGGTCTAAATGTAAAAGATATAATAAAATATGGTTATTTTAAATGACATAAAAAGGTCATCAAATTAGAACAATCGCGTCATCTATTGTCAAACTGAATGAAACCGTGACATTCCACCTTAAATCTAATCTTAAGATCTATTAGATTCTGTTCTATTTGACTTTAGTGCTTGAAGTGGTCGTAAAACGATTCTTATTAACTTTTTCTTTCAGTGCTCATTTTTCGATAAGACGTTGGGTGAAATAACTTCTTTCTTATCGAAGTTGTTCCTGTAGAGAGTGTATGCCATGCCTGCTGTAAGGGCCGCCACAGTGGCGCCTTGTGCGATTACACGGAACTTCATTAGGAATACGCTGGTGCTCATCTGACCACGGTTTTTGTAGGAATATATGCCGTAGCCGACAGATGCAGCGAGGGCGCCCAATCCTGTACAATTAAATAGAGGAATATATATTTTTAAGGATCTTTGTAAACACGTATATTTAAAAGATAATTCAGTGATGTTATTTATTTTCCTACTTGCTCAAGTATCTATTACATATCTACAATTATTCATACACAATCAAGATTTAAAAAGGCCAAAGGCCCAAAGAAGGAATCGTTTGGTTAGTGGGATAATAAGACTAGCATAAAATCCGTATCTATAGCAAATTTCATCAAAATTAGTTAAGTAGTTTTGAGTGAAACAGTAATAGATATAAGTAGTCATTGGTATCTTTTCTTTTTGTATTCTGTCCTCCATGTGATTTGTCTGAGTCGTTCTATAACGATAAGTTGTTATTATCCAAAGGAACAAAATTAACAATGTACTGCTACTAAGATTGCCAAACGATTTTTGATACGAATTAGGTAGGTACAAAGATTTTTTCGACAAATAGGTGCGTATAAAAATAAAATCGGTACGAAATAAATAAAAACACTCACCGATAATCATGAACGGAGATTCCTTTGATTTACGAGCCAATTTCTCAGCGTGGGTCTCTTCATGATAATCGAAAATAGGCTTCTGGTTCTGTTCCATGTCTGTAATATCACGAATGTTCGGATCAATTGAGTATTACCAATCCATGGCAATATTTATATATTATTGGGTCCGTATTATTACCGTTCAGCAGTTATCTTATCCAAATAGCAGAATATTTATTTAATACAAGTTATTGCAATGGGCAAATATTTGAAATCAATTTTCAACTTGAATTTCAACAGATTAAGGCTTTAAATCGAGTTGAAAGTTTTGTTTTCTTGTAGCTTGTACTTATATTTTAACACGAATGTTAAGTTAGAGTTATTTTGAAGACATAAAGAAATGTAAACTGAATGGTGACTGGCGTTAAAGATAGAATAGAATAACTAAACAAAAAAACAAGGGAAGTACAAGCGGTTATAGCGCTTGATATTTCTAGAAAGTATCTCTAGAATTCATTTATAATAGATAGTTACATACATATAGAATACTTGATGTCAAAAAGAAGGAGCAACCAAATTATAGACAGTCCTACAGGAAATTATGCGAAATTGACGTTTCGTCGTGAACTTCGTGAAAAAATGTATTTTAGTTTAAAGTAAGGAAATCTGGTGGATTTAATTTAAGAGTATTATCTAATTTAGTCAACATGTATGTTCTGGGACTCAACCTTTACCTACTTATAAAATTATAACAGAGGTTTATTTTATTTACTAAATAAATGATTTAATAAAGCGCTTATTGACACCCAAAATAACGTACAAAACTATAATTAAAATGAGAGATTACATCATATTTGAAAAAGTTTTTTTACATTCTAAACCTGAATAAAAGAAAAACCTTTACTGAAAATGATCACATTTACCTCTAAAATTCACTATTTTCGATTTCTTTTCGTAATTATGATTTTTTTTATAGACGAAATAGAAATCATTTTCTAAAGCGGAGGCTGTAGGCATCAGTTTTACAATAATATATTTATTTGTAAGTAATTGATCGATTGAAACAGTAATTTGTCTTAACGCCCAGCCCTAAATGAAGATACCTATAAAATAATAAATAGGTAGGTATATTACTGATATTGGATAGAACATTGTATGCGAGACATTATAATTGCTCGTGATATGACTTTTAATAGGTACATTACCAAAGAACAATATATAACTAAGAATTTTTTATGGTCTTGAGATAGGTATCTCATGACGCAAAAAAAAAAAACAAAACAAAATGTATTAATGATCGCAGTTATTTTAGGACGCTCAAGGTTACGTACGGTTCGAGGAATTTTACATAATTTCTAATGGAATTTTACGAATGAATGTATCTAGTGCCTACGCATATTATCACAAGATTTGTTCACTATAACTCATTACGTTTTTATATAGCTTTTCAAGTCACACGTAATATCCGCTTTGGTTCCACATTAACAGGTGACCGAACGCCGACGATAGCCCGATACCCAACTATTTGATAAGATAACCTCAACTTGTTAGTTTACTCACTGTTATTTAATTTTGTGACCTGCTTCGTATTTCAGTTGGGTTGATGCCGGTTGCGTCAATATGTAGACACTACAACGTCTTGGGGCTTTCAAGGAACAACTGATTGATGCCGCTCGGCTATCATGAGATTTAATAAGTACCTACTATCTTGATGTCGTCATAGAGTATCATGTGTATGGCGAATTAACCTACGGTAGCGTGTGCACTATATAATAATATGAGGAAAAATGTTGAATTTATTAATTTTCGATGACGTAGCAGTAACTATGTAACTATACGATAGAATAATTTACTAACAGTCAAGTGTAAGCAGATTACGTTTTCATATTGTTAACTACTTAGTACTGTTACACCTACAGCTATCTTGGGGCGAAACCCGACATTGAAAATATACGGATTTGCCTTCAATTTAATGTCATACATATGTTATTTAAAAGAATAAGCCTCATTGCACTTTAACTATTTATTTATAGCAGTTTTGTCAGTCCTTTCACATAACAAACAACGAAGAATGTCTATGTTGACTTTTATACCAACACATCAGATTATCGAATAAAGGACTCTTTATATCTTATCTCTTCATTTCTGATGCAGTCTGCGCATGTTACTATGTAAATTCTACGTCACTCTCGCGTATCGACTGCAAGTTCGTTTTGGTGAAATGAATATACCTACTATTACTTTAGTTGGAAAAAAAAACTCATAATAATAACTTGTATTTCGAGAAATTTTCCATTACGCAAACGAATTACGCACTATAACAATCTTCCAGATACTCGACAAAAATTAGTTGAGATATTTTCCCTAGCAGTAATTAGGCCATGTTGTTATTCTCGGTATATCCTTGGGCCTTATATAGTTCGCTGGCTTTTCGACGGGCCAAGCTAAAATAATCCCAGGGTGAAAATAATTAAATATTGTGAACAAAAACTTTTGACCAGAGTATGAGCGAGTATACGATTCGATGATAAGTGAAAAAAATGAAACGAAATATTAAGAAACATAAATTATATTATTTCGAGTAATAAAAATTAGACAGTATTTATTTTTAACTTACATATAGGTAGTTTTTGTTTGTGATTTGCATCCATATGACGCTTAGTCCTAAATTAAATTGATCTATACATTTTCATGAAAATTTCATATGTAGATAAGTGTTTATACACTTAAGAGATTTAAATAACATGCCAAATATAAATAATAGCTAACTACGCAGAGTTTATGTTGCCAGAATAGAGAAATTTGTGAATTACCTTCGGGAATGGAAGTCTTTCATTTGACGTATAACAATAAATAAATAAATAGCAAATATGAATTCTATTTTCAAGGTGAGAGTGTTTAAATTACTAAGAATCATATGATTACGTGGCAGTTATGCGTTCTCGAAATTTACTTTATGCGTGAAAATTATCCATCACTTGAATTAAGCAGTTAAGGGGGCGTCCATGAATTACGTGAGATGTTTAAGGGGGGAGGGGGTCGAGGCAAATCTCATCTAATCTTACGTTGGAGAGAGGGGGGGGGGTCTCGGCAAATATCACGCAATTTTTTTTTCTGATTGAAATAAAAACAAAAAAATACTATTTTGGTCCATTTAATCCAGATAGTACATGCTTAAGATTTAATCTTAAGCGTAATCGTATACGATTAAGATCATTCACTAATTCGTTCAAAAGAAAATAATTTCATTTATACTTCGACGCATATACATCTACTGAATGTCAAACCACCATATTTGTAGGGTTCTAACGATACTTTCGATATCGAGTAGGTATCGATACTTTCAAAAGCTATACTCGATACTGAGTATTCGATACTACAACAAGGCAAATACTCGCAAGTACTCATAAAATTGCATTTTGAAAAATCTCACGTGAGATTGGGAAATGGGGGAGGCGGTTGAATAAAATCTCACGACATCTCACCAGGGGGAGAGGGAGGATCAGAAAATTAAAAAAAACACCTAACGTAATTTATGGACGCCCCCTAACCCACAGTGGGTTAACTGCTTAATTCAAGTATTTATTTATTAGTATTTATTTTATTTAATCTTAAATTTTAATCTTAAAACCTTTGTAACAAATTTATTTACTTGTTTTTATGTAAAAATGTTGAGTGCAATATAAATATATATAATATATTGCCCAGTAAAATAGACGAATGGCGGATTTAATGCCAAAGAGACATTCTCTACCAGTCAACCAGTGAATTTAGTACAGAACTTTAAAAGTATTATATAAATCATTATCAAAATGAAAAGTTTATTTTTTGTTTATCGATGGAAAAAACTGGACTCGTGTTTAAACAATACACTAATGATTTATATTGTTATTTATAATCAATAAATAAGTTACTAACACTGTATCTATCTGAATATTAACATACATAGTACCATCCCATCAATTAAAACGAGTAACTTAAAAATTAAACAAAATCGAGCATGAATAATCGCATCATTTTTTTTATCCTTTTTTTTTTCATTAAGACAATTAAACTCAATAGTTTTATTGCTTGTATACCAAAAATATATTTTCGGCGTAATTTTTTTTTCCCCATTTTCGTGTTTTTATCATTTTATTTTTTTATAAAACCATATGGTAAGTCATTAAATAAATGGATTTAATAAATATACTAATTCAGTGTACTAAACTGTGTCATAATAAAACATTTTAATTTTACTTTATTTTCGAACTCAGTTATAAGGTATTTTAAGTTACGACGTTGCGTCGTTGCCTTGGAATGACGTCACAGTGAGTCAGAGGTGCGTCACCTGTGGCCGCCGCCAGTTTAAATATGCAGATGCATTATTTGTTTGTAGTCCGATTCGGTCTTGCATTTGCACACCACGTGTATCTTTTGCGTTCATCGTTATTTTTGTTAAATCTTTGTTTTTGTTATTAGTTTGTAGATTGTTAACCGTTGTTTTGTTTTGTTAATTGTTATAAATGAGTGAAGAAGTGAGAATGAGTGAGGCAAGGAAAAAGCAACCAAGGCGTCGAAAGAGAATCTTGGAACCTCAAGCAGGTTAGTATATTATTATTCAAATTTATTTATTTTCAAACAAATTTTAACAGCCGTTGAAAAAGAATAGTCTTAAAATACATATTTATCTTAGCAATGTTCTTAAATTCCTTACGATTATAGAATTTGTATATTATGCACAAGTCGTCGTTGCTTGAATCCTCAAAACAAAATATTTCTAGGTAACCAGAATTACCAGAATCGATATAAATAAAAAGTTGTGTACATATTATTAAAGGCGACCTAAATGTTCTTATCTAATATTGTAAGCCAAATTTTCGAAGTAGAAGCCTTTCTCAGCAAATTTGCCCTTTCTTTTCCCTGCGGCTGACCATTCCTATACGTGGTAGGTTTAATAATTATATTTTCGTTTCAGATCATCTTCGTCAATACCCTTTAATTCTCCGATAAAAAGAGAAAGCCAACAACTTGGCAATCGGCGAAAAACAATTGATCACAAACAACTATAAATATGTTAAAAATACTTGGCCAGAAACTGAATACAAATCAAATCAGGCTATGGTAGCTAAGACAGCTGAAATTAGCGGAGTGAGTGTAAAATCCATTCATGGAATTTTACGGGAGTACAAAGACACTCACACATTTGAACCAAAAGGCACCACTTGATGATCAAATAATGATATAGACGTTCTTTTTATTACAAAATAATATTTTGAAATAATGACAATGCATGAAATATTTTTGTTTTTCTATTATTATAGTAATATTCGACATGATCCGTGGTCTTTCGAAACAACTGATGTAAAACGCACAACGCACTGTAAAGTCGCAAACTATAAATATATGAAATAGCATCTTTTATGTAGCTATGTAATGTAAATAAATGTGTACTATTTAAAAACTGTTTCGTATTTCATTGCCCCTATTCCACATATCCCTTTGGGCTAAAAACTCAGAAAAAAATGAGATCAGTAATATTGTATTCCCCATAAGTTTCATGAACTTGCATATTTTATATGGTTAACTTGCGTCATCGGCATTTATAAACTACTACATGAAAAAAAGGTTTATGATATATGTCAAACTCAGAATTCCAGGACTGTCCTGTACCACGATACGTCTAATTAGTCACTTTTAGCGATAGTATCCATACGATTTGTTCATTTTGTCCATAATATTAGAGTACATTGGTACAGAGGAGGTGAATGACCTTTATTGCACGTTTATCTGGCACTGACTATAGTTATGAACGAAACAAGCAGGGCTAGCAAGGGGCGCGGGCGCAGGGGATGTACGCGCATGCGCCGACGACGATGTCTGCTCGGTTTTTTATTTAGTTAGGCAACATCAGTCGCCCGCGCACAATTCTTTTGAACGCACGCACTTCCGCCTTTGCTTCCGTGTTGCACGCCACCCACCGCAGCCCCACACTTCGCGCGTCGTAATGTATTCCAATCGCGAATATTACGAAATGGTGCGGTGTTACATTTTAAGCGGTGAAAGTTTAAATGCAGCTCGGAGACTATACGAAGCAGAATCCATCCCAGCCCTGCAAAATCAGGGACTAATAAACCCCGCAGTACCTAGTCGCGAGACATTTTTGGCTGTGAACCAAAGGCTATTGGACTATGGTCAATTTACTTCGCCTACTCACGCTCGTGGAGGTGGAAGACCAGGACTTGCAGTAGAAATCGAAGATGAAATCTTGGATTTCTTCGAAAGGGACCCGCGCGCCAGTACACGAGATGCCGCACGCCGATTTAACGTAAGCCACTATGCCGTGTGGAAGCTGCTGAAAGTGACAGGGCTACACCCTTACCACTTCCAAAAGGTCCATGCTCTACACGATGGAGATAATGTGCCCCGTCGTACCTTTTGTGAATGGCTGATTGCACACCCTAATGCCAACATTTTGTGGACTGACGAAGCATTGTTTACTCGTGTGGGGCTTTATAACCATCATAACGAGCACTGGTGGTCCTTCAGAAATCCGCATATGATTCGGAAAACCCACCATCACGTGCGCTTTAGTGCCAATGTGTGGGCCGGTGTTATAGGCACGAAAATACTGGGGCCGTACTTCATCGAAGGGCCACTCACCGACGGCAACTTCCTCGATATGCTGCGGCATGTCATTGCCGATTTCATGGAGGACTTGCCCGTAGCCTACTTCCGGGATTTTTATTTTCAACTGGACGGTGCATCACCCCATTACGCCGCCGCCGTCCGAGATCATCTCACCATAGAATATGGTGATCGATGGATTGGACGCGGAGGCCCCATCGTGTGGCCTGCTCGATCGCCGGACCTAACACCGTGCGACTTTTATTTGTGGGGCGAAATTAAAAGACGTGTGTATTTTGAGGAAGTACAAAGCCTTGAGGACTTAAAAGTGCAAATCAGAGCGGCATTTGACTACGTGAAAAATGACACTGTAGTGCTCTCAAAATTAAAAGACAATGTGCAAAAACGTGCAAGACTCTGTGTGGAGAGGAACGGTATGAACTTTGAACATTTATTAAAGTATACGTAGGTAAATAGTTAAATTAGGTAGGGTAAATTGATTAGTTGATTATGTACATAAAGTTGATGATTTTTTAAATACGCCTGATTGCAAAGAATATCTAGTTAAGTACCTACTTTTTTTTATTATTGGTTTAACTAAACAGAATTTTAGGTAACTCGATATTTACTTACCTATTTATTTATAAATTTAAAGCAGTATAGCTATTGTAATAGTAGGTATCTAATAGGATTTTTGCAATTTGACGGTCCTAAGCCCGTAAAAGTATGAAGGAAAGGTTTCAACTTTATGTACCATTTGCCCAAGCATGAAAAAACGAAAACATTTAAGGTAGCTGCTACTAACTCGCAAGCATACTTGTATTACTATCAATGAATTGCGGGAAGGGAGGGAGAGGTAAGTGTAACGTTGCGCGTAAAGCGCACGTACTGGGCAGCGAGAGCGTCCACAAATGTATGTTTTTTGAAAATAACTTGGTGACGATATAACTCAACATTTTTGTTCTAAACGACATAAAAAGAAAAAACCCGTATTTCATTATTTGTCGTAAAGATTAACATACTCAAATTTGGAGAGTGTTTGAAATGCTTACGAATGTCGAAGCCGTTCAAGGTGACTCAGGTCGAGGTGTTGAGGTACCTTCCAGGTTTTAGATTTCCATAAAACTATGTAATTGGGGACCCAAGCAATGTCTCATACATATTTATTGTACTAATTTGCCTCTTAACTTAATTTTCGCCAATCACATCATATTCCAAGAGAAAATCTCGTATTAATAAAACATGTTTTAATCATCTTATCGTATTGTCTGATAAATCGTAACACATCGTCAAGGAAAAACAGAAAACCGATAAAAATGCCGGCTAGAGATAAGGAAAAACATACTTTATCTATTAAGTAATAAGTTCAATATTACTTCTTTATATGAGCGGGTGAAGTAATTCGCATAAAACAATAGACCAATAATGTATCGTTGAAATATTCATAAAATTAGGTTTAAAGTATTAGATGAATTTACAACAGAAAAAAAAAGATTTGAAAGACATACAGCCAGTTGCACAAACGTCCATTTAAATTGACATTAGTGTAAAGCGACATTACCCATACATATTTGACATTCATTAGAGTTTAAAGAGGTCATTAAACCTTAATGGATGTTTGTGCAACTGACCGAATAGCCGTGAGTATAACTGCTAGGAACAATAATTTATGTCACTACTTGCAATAATATTTGTCACCAACTTTCAATTTCCGAATGAATATAATTTATCCCCTGAGATTTTCTTTATTATCAATAAATATCGCAGCTCCTCTATTTTGGCGCGTATCGTAATACTCTGTGTGCGTAGTAATGAGGTTACATTATTTGCTCCAAAAGAGACCTTATAACACATATATTTAAAATCCATAAGCGTGGATAACGTTGTATTATGGATATTGATTGCCACATATTCAAACTTATTTATTCTACCTACTTTGGCTTCAGCGAGTTACAGAATAAATGAGTTCAAATTAATCTAACGACTTTACACATAAAACAGAACATTTTTATTAAGATCTTATCAAATAAATAAAGTTGCTGGAAAATCATATAAATAAAATTGTCATATTTAACACGTAATAATAAAGAACTGAATGATATAACGACTCTTTTAATTTAGACTTTTTATTTTTCAAATTGCAATATGTATATCTTGTTAAGAACGAGTTGCATTCTAAAGCGAGGTACATATTATGTATTTATATTATAACGAGTAATGCAATATTTTCTAATATAAATATTGATATACGGGTGTAGACAGTAAACGAAAATAAATACTACTCATATTAGAACTTAGAGAATTCTTTATGCATAGAAAGATATCAGTTTCAGAGGGCGTGACGTCATAGCGACGTCATGACTGAAGTGGCGTTTTCGCGGGAGATTTTGAAAATGAAATTTTATACCTTTTTATAGATATATGTCTATAAAATAAATATATTTAAAAAACGTCGTCTATACCCCTATTGAAACCCCTATTAAAATCTAGCGACTTCAAGGCGTGCGCCGGAAAGAGACGGACGCTATTGTAACGCGAAAGTCGTCCACATTATATAATAATCCGTTGCATTACATGTTGCGTTGCATATAATCTGTACCTAGCTTAATTTAACTTTGACATTATATATAACGACGAAAATAACGAAACGTTAACAAAAATATGTAGCTTTAACATTTTTTTTATAAACTTTTTGCCGATACAAAATCACGCAGACACTAATCACACATCACGAAATCCATTCGGAAGCAACAATATAATCAAGTACACATAACTCATATAAAAAGTTTACAATAGATCCGATTATATTTTAATACCCAAAGGACATACGCATCTGTACAATCGATATTCTATAAAAATTTCAAAGGTTTAATTTTAAATTAAGTTTCTACATTTACAGCTAATATTTAAAGCACATACAAAATTGTCATTACCATCCAAAGCAGCAAAAATCAAGTAGCTCGACTTCATCACAGATACCAAAGGCATATGCTTAAACTATCATAAAAAGTCAGACTCATATGTATTAGCTAACTGTATCTTTTGTTATAATTTTCTGATTGAATTATTGTAAGCCACTGGTAACCAAGAAGTCTGCTACCGAAACGTCCACAAATGTCAAAAAACCAACACAAAATAATGAATAATTTATGTTATTTTTTTTTACATTTGTGTTTCAGTTTAAATCCGTTCAAACATTTTTATTTTTCTATTAATTATTTAATGAGGAAGTATTTAAAAAAAAACACACAAGTTCCCGAAATAAAAACTAGATGTCGTTACGGTACGTTCTTGATTTCTCCATGACAACTGTTCCGGTTTTCAGTTTCAACTTTTCAGTATTTTAATATGTTAGTTAAAAGGAACGGAAATGACTATCTTTGGTCCATTTGTTTCCTGCAAAAATCAACTTTTGCTAGAGTCGCCATCTAGTGGAGGTGTTTTTTTGAGTGCTTTCGTTTTTTTTTTAATATTTCCTCATTGCAATATAACATCATTGTCTCATACATCAATAGATATTCTTAAACGAGTTACATTGAAAATTGTCCTTCTTTATTTGAAGCTAACAGGAACACCTTTGGTGATGAGTTTTATACAATGAAAGCTGCATAGATTCTTACTACGACGACTCTTTATATAGGCAGCGAATTATTTAAAGATGAAATACAGATTCAAAATGATATCATCAACATAATATTTACATTCGGAATGTTGTATGATCTAACGTAGTTTGTGAGTTGTATATTTGGATCTATATTCCATAGTGTAACTAGACTTTTAACAACCTATATTCACAAAGCGTATTTAGCGCTAAGTTCGCGCGGCAAATGCAAACGGACAGTGACAATTCAATTCACAAAATTATGAATGGTTATAATTCTATTATCACTACAAGAATGTTTATAATTCTATTATCACTACATGTCGCTTTCTCTGTCCATATATCCCGTAGTGTAGGACGTCCTCAGGCGCGGTGGAGTGATGATTTGCGCAAGATGGCTGGCAGGAGCTGGATGCGAACAGCCGAAAATAGAAGTAGATGGCGTGCAATTGGGGAGGCCTATGTATGTTTAAATCTTTAAAACTACGCAACGAATTTTGATGCGTTTTTTTTATAGGCTGATTCAAAAGGAAGGTATTAACAAAGCCACGCGGGCGAAGCCGCTTGCGGAAAGCTAGTATACCAATAAAAATGGTAATTTTTTACTTTTGTTTATCGCTCATATAATGTTCAGTGCCATTTCTTATTATTAAGACAGATATGACAGACAGCAATGGGAAATTTTATTTGTTTATCACATGAGTGTACTAGGAGATCAGCACGGGATAGAGGCTCGAAAAACTTTAATTAGAATTTCTATGGATAGCAATAACGAGAGTGAAAGTTTTTTTTCTTATTAAATAAGAAAATTGTTTATTTGCTCTTAAATCAGTATAGTGGAGTTGGAGGGGAATGCTTTGTGCTTGTCGTTCCAGTTCTAAGCTTACGGTTAGCTGCAATATCAATTTTCTTAAATTAAATGTAATTTTTTCAAGCCAGTTTTATGTCTTTGATGACAACAGCATATATTATAGAATATAAAATTATGCCGCGTTTCTGGGTATCAGAATTAATTAAAAAATATTTCTCGAATTTAAAAGACTAATTAAAAAGGTGTTTACTATTTGCTTTTGTGTCTTATAAACAAACATGCTTTGATTTCTGCGCGTTTAAAATACGCCCCACGAACATAAACCCTTAAATGAAAATTGCTATCAAATATCCTTGTATCACAGTTTATAAATGAACTTACTATTTTCGATAGTTAACCTCTAAAGATAATAATTATTTCTATTTAATGGACCGACGGCGTTATGGCATTGATACAAGTTAACTATAGCTAACAAATATAACTGCGTTTCTAAAGGTCTATTGCACATTTTTTCAGTTTTAAAGACTAATAGCAGATACATTCAAGCCGATGGAGACGAAAAGTTTTTTTACACCTGGCAAATGAATGACAACGGTAACATTAGAATTCTGACCATCCAGCGAGTAATCATTATGGCTGTACGTTATATAAGCCAGGGCCGGTAAAACTTAAAAAAAAATTGTTTCTAAAATAATTTCAAGTTTGTTCAAAATTAATGTTAAAAACAATGCTATTGGTTTGGTTTAATTGGCAAGATGAAGTATGGTATCGAAATATTAAATTACACATCGTGACTAGGCAAACTGTTATCAAATTAACAATAGAAGATAAGGGGTCATTCGAGTATTACGTAAACAGGATATAAGTAGACTTCAAATAAGCCCTGTCGTTACAGCATGTCAGAATAGACCTCTATTTTGATGCTCACATAATACTTGAATAACCCCTTATAATTTCAACGTATAATCTACACTTACATGAATCATTATGTCAATTTATATTCATTGAAGATGACGATTACATATTGTTATTAAGGTTCTGATTATATTTTGCATCTCATTGATAAATAGCAATGTAATAATGACTGGTCCAGCCACTGTGCGATTGTTTAATACTAGTACACAGTCGTTTTAGGCTAATTTAAATAAAGGACAATCCAGGAACATTCTGGCATCTAATCTTCTGGAACTTTATTCTGCACAGTTTGTACAAATACTAGTTGCCTTAGAATTACTCAAAGTAATTAGTGTACAAAGTGGACGAATGTAAAGTTCCCTCCATTGTACAATCAAAAACAAATCAGGTTACACAAAAACTATCAAATTTCTTCACTTGATTTCATCCTTAATACATTACAGTAGAGTTCAAAATCAACTGATATATTGTGGTTACATAACATGCTGTGTGTGTCTTCAGTTAGGTTTTAGATTGCATAATTAATAAGGTAAAATAAATTTCGTACCATCAATTTCATCTACTATGAAATCATAAATGTAATCATTTATTTACATTACAACCAAGTTGAACTAATTATGTAATTAAATGATAACAGGCTTAAATTATTGCTAAATTCAATAGATATTATGATACCTACTATACGCCATTACTAAACTCTTCCGTTCTTAGTTTAAGCATTTTTACAGAGCAAATATAATTAGAGCAATTCGCTGGAGAATGAATGAATTTAGTTCTTAAATCTGTTTTCAATAACCTAGAAAAAGGCTTAGCTTACATAGGAAACGCCTAATCTTATTAATCACCTAAGCAGATAAGTCTAATTGAAAATAAACATTTTTTCTTTTATCCCTTGACACATTTATCACCTGTCATATTACGCAAATACCTAGTGCAAGGCACCACATAACAAATGTAATAACGTTAGACATTGCTTAAAGTCATTAGGTGCTTCCTAGTCATTGCATTTTCAACTTAGGCGATTCCTAAACATTTAGGCGACTCCTAAGTTTAGTGAAAAGTTGAAAACGGACATCAAGAGTAATTTACACAATTTCTGTTAAAACAATTTTCATTGTAAGAAACAACGTTACGAAATTAACTTTACACCACTAAAATCGCAGTGTACTCCGCTCGTACGCATCAGCGTAAGTAATGCTAAGCACTTAAAAAAATGTATAAATTAACTAATCCGTACTTCCCTCGCTCATTGGTACTGACTAGGCGCTGAAGAAGACACCTTCTCTAGTTTCTCAAAGTGTTTCCTTGCATTTCTGATGTTGATCAGCGTCGCTTCCGATGGTATCTTGGGATCGGACATTTCCACCATAACGTAAGTGTTGCTAGTGAAGCCGTCTATGAACGCGGCGAATACACTGTTACGGACCTGTAATAGGGGGTTGTACGGGGTATTATGGAATATCTGAGACAACGAAGGTACTACAACACCCAGACTCGAGACGATATAGAAAAGTAAATTTTCTACATTGACCTGAGTGGGAATCAAAAGTATCATTCATATAATAAGTTATAATATAAAAATAAATTCAATTATCAATATTTTCTGCGATAACGCCATCTTCTGTCATGGCATCGCTATGACGTTACGCCCCTCTTAAACTAATATCGTTTTATATGAAATGTCCATGAAGATTTAATGACGACTTTAAGCTCTAATAAATGTTCTAAATTTGGAAAGAACAATAGCCATCTGCCTAATATGCTTGGACTAGTAAAATCGAATAAAACGTAACTTGATGAAACATATGTTATTTTGTTTGCCTATGCAACTAGAACAAAGAAAGACATTAAATATATTTTTAAAAGCTGGGAGTATCGAGTAATTGTGTAATATGTTTTTGAGGTTATGTCGTATTATTTAAACTGTAGCATTTTGAGTTAGAGGTTATACAGTTGAAATATGTAAAGCACACGTCAGATAAAGCCTAATCGTAGTCCTAGAAGGGCATACTTTCACATAATCCTTCAAACTTGCTCCATATCCGATAAATTATTTTTATTGACTGTAAGAAATAAAATCATTTTTTGTCAACCAATGAACATTAAAAAAAAAATAATACTAGAATTTTTAAGATTGCTCTCAATAACTCTACTTTTCTATCTTACACTATAACTTATATAAAGTAGTAGTGAAAATACTAATTTCAAAAGGATATAGCAAAACAACATGTTGATTTTTCTTTTCTTTATTACAATTCTAATGAATACCTCATCACGGAATGCTGCAGGAGCAGCTACATTCTGTTCGTGTCTGGCCCATCCAAGATACCAAACTATGGTTATTATATGAGCACAGCATCCCAGTGTACATCAACCAATAAGACAATTACAGCAGTGTTTTCTTATGCCATCTAACCCGGATGTGTAAATTCTTTAAAATGTACTTTATTTATATTTAAGTCTAATTCTAATAAATCCAGAAAATCCGGTATTTCTCTCCAGACCTCAATTCTATAATGCCCGTGGAACCTAGTATGCTCCCCATAATACAGAAGATAATACAAAAATCACCGCCAAAGTTACAAAACGATCTGCGTAGAAACACGTCTACACATATTTGTCTAAAAAAGGGAGGTCGCAATCGATTGAATACTGTAATATCGATTCTTATGAATAATCATTTGTTTTTAATTTCATTATAAATTCCTCTAAGTAACATCTAATTATATTAGTAATCTAATCTAAGTTTTATAATTTTCACGGCTTTATATATGGTTAGTAAATAATATAAGATTTGTAATAAATTCGATTAGTCAGAAATAAAATCGATGTTGTTCTTTGAAAAAGAGGGACTTCTCTAGAAATGACATTATTAATAAGATGCGTTCAAAAATAACATAATTTAAACTGCGTTCTAAAAAATAAAGACATATTTTAGAGAGGATTATCTTTCCTTTCCCAGCTTTTAAAAATAAATTGTTGGTATATAATAATTACATTCAACTCATACTAAATTTTGGTGATAGTTCCATCTTAGTACAAGAACTTTTTTTTTCGTAGTCCATTTTGACCATTGTTCTTTGTGTCGTTAATTTAGCATTAAAATAATGGCAATTTTAATGGATACTTGTGCAACTAACTGAAAGGTTAGTTCTCCAAGTATTATTTTTTACTCATAAATTCTGATATGAGTTAAAAATAATATGTACGAGGGTCAAACTGAAAGTTCTTAGAAAATCAAAAACTGATTACATTAGCCAGTTATTAGTTTTATTATATCATTTCAAAATATTGTCCATTCACGTCAATACACCGCTGCATGCGATGGAACCACTGGGAAAAGCACTTTGCCCACTCGTCCTTAGGGGTCTCTTCAATGGCATCGCGATACGCAGCCACCGCTTCTTCAGCATTCATAAACCGCTTTCCTTTAAGTTTTTCTTTAATTTTTGGAAATAAATAAAAATCACAAGGCGCAAGGTCGGGGCTATACGGCGGGTGACCCAGTAATTCAACGTTTGATGTCGCCAAATAGTCGATCGTTCGCTTGGCGGTGTGCGACGAGGCGTTGTCGTGGTGAAGGAGGATCCTACTGCGAGGTCGTTTCTCTCGAACTTTTTCCAAGACAAGTGGCAAACAATTGGTAGTGTACCATTCTGCAGAAACTGTTTTTTGATCCTCTAACACAATTGTTGCAAAATGACCTATCCTTCCAAAGAACGAGGCCACCATTTTTTTTCCCGCACTTCGATCTCTCTTCACTTTAGTTGGCAACTCCTCGAAAGGAAACACCCACTGAGCAGATTGTCTTTTGGTTTTAGGATCATAACAGTAAATCCGGCTTTCGTCACCTGTTAGTATGTCGAACACAGCATTTGAGTCACCTCCGTTAAATCTTTCAATCATTTTACGACACCAATCCACACGATGGAGTTTTTGAGCCTCAGTCAAATTATGAGGTATCCACCGGGCGCAAAGCTTCCTGACCGCTAAATGTTCGTGGAGGATTTTGTGCACTTGACTCATACCGATGCCTAAGCTTGTCCGAATCTGTTGATAGGTCACTCTTTTGTCAGTCTCTATCATACGCCGCACAACACAGATGTTATCTTCAGTCGTCGCCGTAGAAGGCCGTCCCTCACGTAAATCATCAGTGAGATTAGTGCGACCACGTTTAAACTCATTAAACCAGTTGTAAACAGTCGCACGAGATGGGGCTTCATCGTGAAAGGCCAATCGTAGTCTATCATAACTTTCTTGTTGACTTAAATGACATCGAAAGTCATAAAAAATCATTGCACGAAAATTTTCTCGTGTTAAATTCATGATGACGTGACACAGACAATTTTCAATTTGCCGCCAAATCGTAAAACAAATGACAAATGAATGAAATATATACTCAGTAATATTGGCAAAGAGTTATATTTTCAAATTTTAGAATTATTTTTTTATTATATTGTTTATAAGTGGCCAGTTCTAAGAACTTTCAGTTTGACCCTCGTATTTATTTTCGTTTACTGACTACACCCGTATAAATAAATAAGCATATTTTTAAAAGCTTTCATTCACATTGCCGTGTTATTAAGTGTGGGCCTAATTTTGCAAGCTAAATTAGACCTTCTTTTTAACACATATTAAGTTGAAATTTAAATACACCTTTAGTTTTGATGACAGTGGCTGTCCTTGATATGGAATATAAACATAGAATGGCCAATGACGCGGTAAAAACTAGTTTTATTCAATACTCACAAACTATTATGATTACTGTAAAAGTGCTACATAATTTCCTTGGTTACAAAGTGATTTACATATTTATAATTTTTTCTTATTAAAAACGGTATAATAACACGTATATAATAACTGTACTATATTCTAGATATTTTAGTCTTACTAAAGTACATCGAATAGGCGACTTGTTAATTTAGAAAGATCAAATATTGTACAAAACAAAATTTTGGATATCTGCTGTCCGTGTACTAGTTCATTATCAATATTAAATATATACTTTTGTATGTTGTTCCACCACATATTACTGATAGTGAGTGAATCATGGAAATATTTTACTTATTCACCTATCTTGTTACCAAATGAATGCTGTTCTATTACAAATATGCATTTGTATTATGATATTTCTAAATCAACATACATAGATATATTATCATAATAGCAAAAGTAAGTAAAATTGGCTATTTGAAAAAAATTACAATTACACATAGGAAATGAGAACCTATTTACTTATTTTTAGGGTTCCGTACCCAAAGGGCAAAAATGGGACCCAATTAGTAAGAATCCACCGTCCGTCTGTCACCAAACTATATGTCATGAACCGTAAATAATTTCACAAATTATATAAATATATAAACGGGGGCTCGCATATAAAAATCCGTTGTGTAGTGTTAAAGGTCACAGCGTACAGATAGGAAGGGATTTTCTTTTACAATATGTATAGATTTTACCTCCATGCTTTGGAACTGTGCGGCTAGTTTGGAACACGATAGCTTGAACTGTTTAACGATGTTGGACACTTTCTCGAAACGGTGCGCGTCGCGGTGCGGCCGCCGCTGACAGTGCGACACTACCAAGAACGTCGCCCGCTCGAATAGTAACACCTGACGGATGATATATTTTTTAAATTAGAATCGCGGAGGTTTCTTTTTTGTTTTACACTTGCCCCCGTCCAGTGACAGGTCCTTGCTAATGCTAATTTACTCATACATACCTCATGCGACTCATTCATCATCTTTTTTACCGTAACGAGGGGGATACCCATCTATGCCTGCTACTTCTATCTACTTGTGATATTTATTTTATGGTAAGGGAATCTGAGAGAGTAGGGTTTTTATTGTTTTATAAGTCTTCTGATGTTAATACCTTTTACATTTACATTGTTTACTAACACTACTTATCTTAGAATGGTGGAGGTAAGCTTCTAATAAGACTAATAGGAAAGTTTCTGGCCTGGACAGACATATAGGAGGGGTGAAATTAATGTCAATAATAGGATCATCATCATCATCATCATCAGAGTAGCTCTGTGGCGTAGTGGATAAGCGCCGCGGCCCGCGATCCTTGTCGGTAAGCAACTTTCGCAAGGGTCGGTCACGGGATGGGTGACCGAAAAATTATTATCTCGAGCTACTCCGTGCTTCGGAAGGCACGTTAAGCCGTTGGTCCCGGCTGCATTTGCAGTCGTTTATACCCTGCAATCCGCATTGGGCCAGTGTGGAGGGTCATGGCCCATGCTCCTTAACCATCCATAAGGAAGGCCTGAGCTCCTGCAGTGGGGACGTAAAAGGGCTGGTGATGATAATGATGAAAACAAAAAGCAAGCAAGCAAGGTGGCTCAAGATTCAGACTAAAAACTATTTAATAAGTGATAAGAATTATTAAAATCACGAAATTGGTGTGCACAACATTCACTTTTTACTGATAAATTGTTAAAAAAGATATTAAATTATTATTCACATACCTCATCTGCATCTACTATAGCTGCAAACTGTTTTAGAGATGATTCTAGTGCTTTAACATTAGGTATTAACTTATATACTATACTGGACCATGCCCTGGAATTGAAATATATAACAAATAAATATAAGACGTTATATAAATTAGACAGACTCCAAAGTCACCAGCTAAAGCATTTGTATTATGGCAATATGAAACAATGAAGGTGATCACCATCAAACAATGACCCAGACCCTGAGACAATATAGAATTTTCTACATTGACCTCACCAGGAATCGAACCCAGGACTCCAAGAGATGGTGACTCCTTGAAACTGGCTTACAAGCCATTTGTCCTCAGATATTGTCTATGAACATGTTTGGAAATAAAAAGGTTGGCACTAATTCAACTCAATTGATTCTATGAAACAAATGGATACAATAAAATTTAATTGTTATTACTATGTAATGTGGGTCTTGTTGAATCACTAGTACTCTATCCAATAAAGAACTGTAATGTTAGTCAAAGATTTAAATAAGTAAGAATAAGTAGGTGTCAGTTTAAATTATTTAATAGTTTTATCATGAAGAAAAATATAGCATTGTTATTGCAAAATTTATCATATATAATAAGTTGATGAATAATTCTGTATTTTAGAAGGATGATTGTGAACTAATAATGTTGTTTTTTTTTTTTACAAATGGTGTCTATAATAGATATAACTGGTTCCTGAATTGTGAAAAGTATAAAACTCACAACTGATTATTCTCAATAACTTAAGTTTTTTACTTAAGGCAAAAAGTTCTAGTTTTTTTCAAACTGATATTACTGATTATTAAAAAAACTAAAATAAAGAACGGAAACCTTTTTAAGCAATACTCCTGTCTTAGATTCAATCCCACATCATAGTTTTTCAACATAAACAAGTGCTTGTAATAGTATAGACTATGTTAGAAACATAGCCTAGTATTAGGAACAATTATCTTATAAGAGATATAGCGGATATTCTTTTTAGTATTTTTTCTGTTGGTAAGTTAAAAGAGGTTATAATATCTTACTTATATAAAGTTTCATCCCATATACTGGTTCTAAAGCATGTGCACTCCAGAGGTTTGGATAACCTTTTCAGGTCTTCTTCCCTTTCTCTAAATATATCATCCCTTTGATCCTCTGAGACTAAGTCCATTTTATGCACTAAACAGAATATTCTAGCTTCTGGAGAGTTCTAGAAGTAAATAAAAATCAAGTTACTATAAGATTCTAATAAGAATTATTTATATATACTCCATGTTTTATCATATAGTATTTAGCTATTGATATATAAGATTAAGTCAAGCTTTAAAGTATCAATATAAATATTGAAATTGACATCACATTTCAAAATATTTTGAATAAGGTGTTTTAGTGTTGTATATTTAATTGCCAGTAGAGAACAATGTTAATAAGAAATTGTTAATCACCTGGAGAATAGCTTCTAAACAGGACTGATAATAGTGCATATCTTTTTCCATTTCTCGGCTTTCAACATCAAATACATATATTAAAACTTCTACATTACGGAAAATATTGTCCCTTTGGGAAGCAAAGTAGTTCTCCATAAACGCTTCTTGGCCTCCACAGTCCCACAGATTTAGAACCAAGTTTCCAAGGAAACGGACATGTGAATGTTCCACATCAACTGCAATGATAAATCATCATTTTAACTAAAGTATTATTAGAGTAATATTTTTCATTGCGATGTACTTACTTGTAGCTCCTAAGCGCCTGGTGTCCCTTGCTATATAGTTTGCAAATATTATGGACCTCATACTGGTTTTTCCTGAACCACTTTTGCCCATCAATAGCACCTAACGAAAAAATACGAAAATAAGACATATTTTAACATAAATAGTTACGAAATGTGTCTTTAAAATACAGATCCAACTTAATAATATTTTATCACAATATTCACCTTTTTCTTCATGTTGACAAAGTTGTATTGGGTCAAGGGTTCTAAACTAAAACTTCTTTGATCTTTTGCTAGAGTTCTCAGACAACAATGATTAATTAAGATTAGATACGGAATTCTTGTATCACTACTGCAGTAGCTTTAAATTGCTTGCAGTCTATGAAAATTATTCAACAGATATTAGAAACAAACTTTAAAAAATGTAGGCGTAAATCGTCAATCTGCGACACAATAGAATGACACGAGAATGATTAAAAAAAAAAATCGTCAAATTTGACATTCCATTTTATGACAGTGACACATTGACATGCCAAATATTAGAAATTTCGTTAAGGCAAAGGGCCTTTATCTTACAATCTTATTTACCAGAGGTAATATGAATTTACTATTTCGTTCATTTTTAAGATTTTTGATAGGTTGTGTTGTGTATGAGCGAACGGACATAAAACTACCAAGTATGTACGGGTATTTAGTAATGTGTACAAACACATTTATATAGGTATAGTCTGCAATCTGTCGGTTTTTGTGCGTATCGTAGACTGACAATCTATTAGACCACGGCGCGGCATTTGCTCGTCATAAGAATTTTTCCAATACATTTTTGATATTAAGTTGTTTCTTAATTTCGCAGTGAAATCTTAAATATTACCTAAGTACTGACATACAAAATATACGTAAGCAATGAAGAAGTATTTAAAAAAAAAACGAAACTACAGAAAATTATGTCACTAGATGGCAGCACAAATTGTTGGATCTAAACGTCAATTCATGACGTTAAACCAAAAAGAATAGATTTGTTAGTGTTGTTATGGATCTGATAACTCGAATTAATATGGAGTTGAAATTTAACTAGTTCGAGTTAAGCAAACGCAACTTGATTAATAGAAAGTAATCTTTGAATAAATTTATTTTTTATTTGTATAGAGGAAAATGGAAACTAACATAATGGAAGTGAGCACAGAGGTTTTTTAAATTTATGGAAATCAATTGAATGCTGTGATATAATTAAAAGTGGCATCTAACTACGGTATACAATAATATTACCGCCAAATAGTTTTATAAATAAAATAGGTACCTTTGTCATTGTAGGTCTAGGAATTTTTCATTTTAATATTTAACAAAAGTTCTGAAAAAATAACAACTAGGTAAGTTAGTTTTATTGCTATTAGTTGTTTGTTGAACTTACAACAACAAAACTACATCAAGTTTCATAATATTTTTATATTATGTATGGTGAATGGATGAATAGGGTTTATTAATCAAAAACAAAAGTCATAAAAACGATAATTATTATAAAAAAATCCGTTTGTTATCTATAAACTTACCCGATATGTATCAAATATACTATGTATTCGTACAAAATAACATAACTGCTGGCTAAAATGACGTTTGTGCAAAGTGTAACGTGCAAATAACTTGTGCTTTCGAAATTAAGACATTATAAAACTATTATCAGTTATTAAATCTTATATTCATAATTAAATCATCTTAATAAACAATCAGCAATCAACAAGAAACGTCTGCTCTAAACGAACAGCAAGGTTATAACTTTAAATTTCAAATCACAAAGTTATTATACTATTGCTACTGATCTTACATGTCGGACGTCGAGCCATGTGTTAAGTTAATTCGTACGGTGGGTTTGTGCTTTTTGGTTCTTACAATAATATTGTTAATAATAGTTTGACTTCCTACACAACCTACACTAGAAATCCGTTTTATTGAAATATATTATTTACTAAATACCTAGAGTAGTTATGGTCTCTTAAAATCTCTGCGGTGGTATCATGTGCGTTAGGTGGTTACGTTCCCTCAAATAAAGTATAGTTGAGTTGTTAAGTTGAAATAAAAAAAGCAGCCCTTGCTGAGTTTCTTGCCATTTCTTGTCAGTACGAGATCTCCCGCCTTAGTTTTGCGAACCATTGGTAAAGTTTTCGACTTTCACAAGTACTATGTAACAGCCTAGACTGAATTTATTTTGATATTTATCTTAATATTATTCGTTTTGTGGATGCATAATGACACTTCATCTTCATCATCATTTTTGTTCTCCATTCCAAACCTGAATTCAACGAAAGTTACGAGCAACCAACGAAAGTTGGCTCATCACTAATGTTGACGTACCTATCAACCAAACATCGTTCCTTTACACGTAACATAATAAACAACTTAAACTTACAATTAAAATACATTCAAATTAGTTTGAAAGTGAGATATTATAAGAAACACAAAACGATGTCATATTTATTAATCGAAAATACTCAATTTACATTTATTACGTCAGAAATAAAATTTGAATGAATATCATAAACAAAATCCAAAAATCGCGAGTGTCATCTAGTATGATTTCAAGAACTAATTTTTATTTTTTAAATACTTCCTCATTGTTAATTATTTGGCTTATTTTGTGTAATCTTTCTGTCGCATGTCTTCATTTGTCGGAAGACTATCAATAACAATACTTTGACCACACATTTGATAGATACACACCATCCACACTGTACATGATTTCATGGTAAATTTTATTATTAGATTTACAATTTTGTTATTTTTTTCCGACCTGTGAAAAGATATAATGCAAACATCATAAGATTCGCTCTTACAAGCATAAATGCAATACTTTTTCACCATTTTAAATTGTATCTATAAAGCTAGTGTATTAAAAATGCAAATATTGAGAACTATTAGTATGTAAAAATAATATCAAAATTTTCCCGTCATGACACCTCAATATCCCTTTAGTAGAAAATAAATAAGACTTGATAAAAATAAATACTATCTTTTAATTATAGATTATTGTGTATAGAAATATATGTTATTATGTAACTAACCTAATTTTTTAAAATAATAACCAATAAAATACAAATGTTTGCACTAAGGTTTTCTAGTTTAAATTTTAATCAATAATATTTTTTTATTATGGCAAGATGATCGACACCAATAAGGTTAATTTTTGCAATTACAATTTTTCGGAGTTATAAATCCCGTTATTTGTACTTAATCCATGCACTTGCTACACTGGCTTGCACATTGTATCTCCTTGGTCTGTGGTTGTCAAGAATGTCAAGCAATGTCAAGTAAGTAAATGTCATTGCCTCGAAAGCTTCTGAAAAAGCGTGTTTTCCCTGTGGTGTTTTCCATTGAAAAGTGTAAATGTATTGTAAAATAGCAAAATATGTGTTGTAAATATTGATTATTATAGATCTCGTGCGTAGTCGTTAATATGGCTCGCCACCGTAATGTAAGAAATAATAGTTATTCTGACGATTTTGATTACGATGATGTTTATGGACATTCCGTGGAAGACGACAGCTGTTTATCACCTAGTGATACTGCACAATTTATATACGATAGATCGCGAAATCAGCAAGCCATAGCTCACTTCCTGGAAAGCCACAATAATATTCAAGAAGAGATTGAGGATGAGGTGGACGATATATCACATCCACCGCTTGAAAGACGTGAGTCTTTGGATCTCCGCAATCTGAAGCTAAGTGAAAATGACGAAGCTCGTCTTATGTCGTGTCTTGATGAACTACGAAACGTTTTAGGTGATAGTATATCTGATACTGTGCTTATTGATACTGTTCTGAGTAATAATTTTGATTTTAACAAGGCTTTAGATGAACTGCTTAATAAAAAAGATAATGAAAATGAAAAACTGAAAAATGATTCTTTAAAACAACCATCAATAGTTCATGTTAATCCAAATATACAACCAATGTCTTCTAATAAAACACCTAAAGTGATTTCCACAATGCTTGAGCCTAAAACTACTGCTTACACCAAGGGGTTTAAAGTTCAGAAAAGCAATAGCTCTGACAATGCCTCACAGACACCTAGAGAACAATCTCCTGTCTCAGAGAGACCTTCTACTCCTCGGATAGAAAATGAAACTAAAGTTATGCAGAAAGTAAAAGAGAACAAACTCGATCCCAAAAAACAATACTCAAATGAAAGAGGATCAGACAAAGACCATTTGTATATGGTTGTAATAGGGCATGTAGATGCTGGAAAATCAACACTGATGGGTAGGTTGCTCTGTGAACTTGGAGAAGTGAGTCAGAAAACTCTGCATAAGTATGAACAAGAAAGCAAAAAGATTGGTAAGCAAAGCTTCATGTATGCTTGGGTTTTAGACGAAACAGGAGAAGAACGTGTGAGAGGCATTACAATGGACGTGGGAAGAGCTCAGCTTGAAACTAAAACAAAAAAAGTAATTGTACTTGATGCACCTGGCCATGCAGATTTTATTCCAAATATGATAACAGGAGCTGGTCAAGCTGATGTAGCATTATTAGTAGTTGACGCTACAAGAGGAGAATTTGAGTCAGGTTTTGAACTAGGTGGCCAAACTCGTGAGCATGCCTTGCTTGCCAGATCCCTTGGTGTCAATCAGCTTGCAGTTGCCATAAACAAATTGGATACCACAAATTGGTCCCAAGAAAGGTTTAATGAAATATCGAAGAAGTTAAAAGCATTTTTGAAACAAGCTGGCTTTAAAGACTCTGATGTCATGTATGTGCCTTGCTCGGGACTTACAGGTGAGAATCTAGTGAAGTCTCCAAGTGAGCCAGAATTGGTTAAATGGTACCAAGGGCCATGTTTATTAGATGTGATTGATAAATTTAATGTACCCGAGAGACCTGTCTCTAAACCTTTGAGGATGTCTATTAATGATGTATTTAAAGGGACAGGATCTGGATTCTGTGTGGCTGGACGCATTGAAAACGGTGTGCTCAATAAGGGTGATAAGGTATTAGTGTGTCCTACTAAAGAAATGGCTGAGGTGAGGAGTATCAGTATCAATGATATGTCAAACAATGTAGCCTTTGCTGGAGACCAAGTCAGTGTGACATTATCAGGAATTGATATGCAAAATGTCTCTGTCGGTTTCATTCTGAGTGATCCTGTACAGCAGGTACCAATAACAACAAAATTTGAAGCTAGATTAGTTGTGTTTAATGTTAAAGTTCCTGTAACAAAAGGTTTCCCTGTTCTTATACATCATCAATCTCTAGTAGAATCAGCAAATATCATAAAGTTGAAGTCTTTGTTAAATAAGAGCACAGGCGAGGTAATGAAAAAGAAACCCAGGTGTTTGGGCAACAATTCTGTAGCAGTTGTAGATATTGAAGTAAGTAGACCAATTTGTTTAGAGCGCTACAAAGATGTGAAAGAACTTGGTCGTGTTATGCTTCGTGTGTCAGGTGTTACAATAGCTGCTGGTCTGGTCACAGATATTTACAATACTTGATCGATCTGAAACATGTATAACACTTAAGCACAGAATTCACTAGTAGGCATACTTGCAGGCAAGTCTGGAGATGCTACTATAGGTCTGTGTAATGACTGCGATGGTCCTACACTAGTTAACACTTCACCAGTTTGCCAGCGGGCATGCCCACTAGGGAATTCCCTGCTTAATGGGTAGGTGCAAGTCTAACGGAAGATGCGTTGCGTCGGTATGAAAATATACTTCCGAAAGGCGTTTGATCGACTTCCTTTAGATTTGTACTGGCCCTAACAGAATTAATGGAACGGTGTTAAACTATCGAAAAAATATATTGCTTTGTACCATATATTGATTTAAATGTTTATTCAGATTAGGCAATAAATGTTATTGGCATCTTAATCTATCATAGATTATTCTAGGATTTGTTGATGTGTTTGTGTCAGGCAAATGAGTAGATTATAAAAATTGCCTTCTTCAATTGCAAAGGAGATTCCTGTTATTCCGCACAATGCTATTAAAATGTACAATAATGTATCGTGCTATAACAAATCGTTATAATTGTGAATGATTATTTATTTTATTAAAATAACTAATAAAATGACATGGTAGTTTTTTTTTTAACATGTAGTATGTTCAATTCATGTGTGTAGATTATTAGGAGTTCCATAATTATTGGAATTATAGTTCCATAATTATTGCGATAAACGAATTCAAATGAATTTCTTTAACCATTTAATAGAATAATAACCAGACATGGGAATAAATGCGACGCGAAAATGAAACAATGACTTTCCAGCTAATTATTTCTCATTCTAAGGTGAAACGCTCATTAGACGGAATTAAATTCCTATCTTAAAAATGCATAAGTTAAAATATGTTTCGGACAAAGTACCTACGAATATCAACATTGTAAGGAGGTACATTCGGCAAAGTCTAGACAGAAAGATTTTCTCGCTAGGATCAAGCGATTCAATTTAGATAAGTAGTGTGCCGACGACAGCTTGTTACTCCCCAGTAGTGATTAACACAACTAGTTTCAGTTACTGTGTACTGTTTGTGTGTACTGTGTACTACTGTTGTTTGATTACTAAAATACTCGTAACAAAAACATTATTATTATTGAGTCGGCGCGGCGCTGATTCTGAGCCCCAGAAGTGGGAATGTTAATAGGCTGATGATGAGAACGTCTGGATTAGAATCTATACTAATAATAAAACAGAAGAGTTTGTTTGTATATTTGATTGAACCCTAAAATCTCAGGAACGAATTGAATTGTTGTTTTTGCGTTGAATGACTTATAGAAGTGGAGTAGCAATGAAAAATGGTAGAATATTTTACTTTTTAAAGCTTTCGATGCGTGGCTAACGGTGAAAGTTACGCAAAAATCATGTATTAAGAAATTGATCCTTTTTAAAAGTTCAAAAAAAAGTCCGCGGAAGCATATGTATATTCTTAATCTTATCCCGAAAAAAGCACATAGAAAAATCCAATCCTATTTTCATCAAATGGGAGTGGAATTCGTACAGGACTATCTAACCATAGTAACCGTTATTTACAATTCGATTTGTCATTTTAATTATATTCCATATCATTCTTTTCTAAATCCATTATTAAATGGATCAAGCTATTAACGCCGGATTATATTTTGAAAAATTTTAATTGGTACAATCTTTGTCGCTAATATTAAATGGAAATGTTATATTACACACGAACATGTTACATTTCGGTGCCTTTGCTGAGCACTAGATGACACTACTGTACTTTTAAAACGGGATTTTGATTTTTATTATGTTTGTAGTCTTTATTTTTTTCCGATTTTTATCAAACAAAGTAGCTTTCATTAACAATATTTTTCAGTAGAGCTTTATGAATGAAAAATTGATAATTATAATTATTAAAACAAATTTTCATCTTTATCGAAAGTTTGAATATTTGTAAAAATATATCTTTCGGCTGTTTGGGTCGATTGCCTGAACATTGATGAGAATACGCTCTGTAGTAGCGAAAAAGTAACAAGTGCTTGAAAAATTCGTCAGTCCTGTTAGGTCCTGGGTAGCTCATTGGTTAGAGCAGTCGCCCGGATTGCGAAAGGTCATGGGTTCGAGTCCCATCTCAGAGTGCCAGGGACAGAGTGGATTTTTTTAAGTATTTTTCATTATGAATAAAATATATTATTTGGAACATTTTAATTGGATGACATATAAAAGTTAAGTTATTGCATACTGTTTAAAAGTAGAATATGATATATTGTTTTCTTTGAGTTGGTTAGAGTACCTATATTTTTATTATCTTTGCGTTATGTTTAAGAAAGAACTATACGTTCTTTTCGCTTTCCAAACTAATTTTAATATTTATCTTTGCTAAGGTTCGCAAGTCAAATAATTAAAAAAATATTACCTATAGAGGTTTTCATTATTTGGGTCTATTTGTTTATTTGTTGTGCTAAAATAAAGTGAAATACTGTAAACAGCTTTTTTAAATGAAACGTATGTTTTATTTGCAAAATAATGAGCCTAATAAACCGGTCAAGTGCGAGTCAACTCGTGGTTCCGTAAGGGTTCCGTACTGAAAACGAACATTTTACATTGTGATACAGCCTCATGACAGACAGACAACCAAGTCTTAGTAATAATGTTGTCGCCGAAAGTCACTGTCGCGGGCACACCTAGTATTACATAAATAGACTACAAAAATATTGCGGAATTTCATGCAATACCGTTTTCTCCGCGACTTCGCCCACGTAAGTTATTTTCTATGTCATCCGTACATTTTAAAATCGATCCCGTAGTTGTGGAGCCTATCCAATGCTAACAATCAATTTTTTTCTCTTAGTATGGATTCGCTTTCCCTGTATTTACCGTTATCCCTTTGTTTGCTTTCTGATTTATTTATCCCTAGCCTTACATTCTTCAATTCCTATTCATCGATTGCCATTAACCTACATCCAGATTTTTTTCACCATCAATACATTATTGAAAGAGCGATAATGAATTTCTTGAGTTTTCCAATTCAAAAGGACGAAAATTCATTAACCTAATGCTTCTGTGGATGGTAAAATGGCTGTTAATTAAAAGTTGAAGGCTTAAAGTGTTTTGGAAGTTGTTTATAACTCAACAGTAGCAAATTATTCGTAGTCTGAAGCATTAATGATGTGCTAGTTACGTAACGCCTTGAAGAAAGCTTTAGATTGAAAGGCTTAAGATAATGAAATTTCAATTTCTATTTGATTATTAGATTTAAGTATAAATGAAGCGCAGCTATTTCAATGATTTTGTTTAATTTGAGTTAAACAATTTACTACAGAAACTAGAGACAAGTGTGAATCATAGAGCTCATTAATATAAAAAGAACTCTTTGGGTTAAGATGTTGTCTCAGCTTATATGTTTATTTTTTTAAATAGTTACTTATTTATTTCAACAGAACTGGAATAATAAATATCGTCTAAAAATGTATGTATCGCCTCCAAAGAAACGGATTCTTCGATAAATTTATGATGGATCGGAGGTGAGATCTGATACTGCATCTAATACGCAGATAAGTTTCATGGTTTTAACAAAATTATAAGAACTTTTTCAAATTTTCATTCGAGGCCAAATACATGTCATGTTAATTCGTAAGAGCCATAATAGGGATGATGACTGGGTAAAAAAAATGCAATTCTATTTAATCCGTCAGTCAGATAATAGAAAAATATTAGATACGTATTTTTTTTACTTCAATTTAACAAGAAATAGCTTAGATAACAGGCATTAAAGTTGAGGAGTTGACAGTTGAGTAGAAAACGTACCCTAACGTGACGTCATACGAAATTTCAACTCCATGTAACGCCGTAATTTTATGATTACGAAAAAAATAAAAAAATACGTGTTTAATTAAATACGTGTTTAACACACTACCTGACGGACAAACAAACAAAAATTAGTCATCATCCCTATTCCACATCAGTCGCGGTTGTCATACACAAGTGGACATAATAATAGAGGCAGGCAACATTTCTAAGTACATAAATTATATATTCACCCTTTTAAGTATTAGCACTGGCAAATTGGGAGGCCTTGTGCGTCAGAGGGTCGTTTGTAGCGAAAGAAAATGTCCTCTGGGGCTTTCCACAGACTCTAAATATAGAGGCAATGAAAATTCACAGTTTGAAAGCTCGAATGGCGGGCGTGAATAAATCAGTGCTGGGACAGCGGGCGCCTGCGGGTGGTGATAATGCTGCACGCTATCACTCTTTCAGGGTTACCACCATTCTTCTTAAGATACTCAAATGGTAATCTATTTATATATATGTAATAGATCGGGGAAAAAGTTTCTTCGCATTTTACGTGAAAATTCAACTAAAGTATGTAGGTACCATTTTGTTCGATAACTTTTTGCCATCTTGTAGGTTTCTCCAGAACAATTATACAAGTTGGTAGATCCTTGACTCTTGAAACTCAACTGATGAAACTTTTTTAAATAGAGCACAGGCACGTGATACTTGAAATGCCAAATTCATTTTTCAGCTAAACAGTAGAATAATTTACAGCGAAGAATTCCTGATGGAAGACTTTATATATGTAGCAGTGTTTCCTTATTCTTTTGAAAGGTTACTGGACTGAAATCAAGAATAGAGAAAGCTATAAATTTCATTTAGGGACGGAAAATAAAACATATTCTATCTAATACACATTTTGAATATAATATTAAATATAAACCGAAACCGGAAAAAAGTATTCAACCCTACATTTTCTCTTCTTAACGTAGGTTGACATAACTTATGGCCGTTTCTTATTTAGGCTCATAGTATGGTGCCTACTGTGTAGCTAGTTATTGTTATCGGATGTGTCTATTAATGTTATTAAATAAATAAATAACCACTTGCTTAATCGTGACCTAGATCTACTTTACGCGGATTGACTTATCTGTGTCATCTTTCGTGTTGAGTGACTTATTGAATATTATAATGTTTTGTGTTTGGATAATTTAGAGTAGATATAAAAGGTAGAAATGGATGGCAGTTCCTTTAATAGAAGCGCTTTAACGCGCCGCAGCCCTCCGTCAAAGCCTCCGCGTCCTTCCACGCTCGTGCCCACGCAACAAGAAGATGAACCTCCTGAATATCCTCCTGAATATCCATAGCTGGAATTCATAACTGGATGAGAACCATCGAACAGTGCCTAAATGAGGTTTGTTCTATTTCCTCGCAACGAAAACATAATTATGAACAGTAACTGAAAATCATTAATTTATGCCGTAAAGATAGCCATGGGACTTCTCAAATAGCCCTGCAGTATCAATCCCTTAAGTAGATGACTTTACAAGCCTTTAAAGAAAAGCGTGAAAGAAAGCTTCGAGAATTTAGGGCAACCATCGAAGTAACCTCTAAACAAGTAGTGGGAAACATTTATATGGTTAATAACTATGGTTATGATATGGTTAATAACTTTATTCAGTCCAATAATATAAGTCAAAGTCAAAATAATCTTTATTCAAATAGACTTCTTAAAAGTACTTTTGAATCGTCCAACTTTTTTCCCTACCGCTCGTTCAGGACGTCTTTTGGCTGATAAGAAGAATGAGCAAGAAACTCACCAGCTCTAATAGGAGTAATGACATTTACAAAAACCTTGCCAT